CTTCTCTTGCCCTCTTCCATCACTGCAACACCTGTTGAACTGATAACTGCTCTCATATCTGGAAAACCGAGGGGCGTCCAAAACGGCCATGTGGGGGGTGTCTTAAAACCGCCGACCTTCTCTGGTCCAAACAAATCCAGATCATTCAGGATCAGAATCTAAAGTTAGAAGGAGGACATACTGGCTGCTGCATTGTTGTCAGAGAAGCCAGCACTTCAACATGTTTCCTTAATGTCTGATCATATAGTAAGATCACTTTATCATTTCACTCACTACAACATCAGTGAGCAGAGAGTGGCATGCAGCTCTGTGAGTAATGAGATGAGCAAACTAAAGTCCACACTGAGTGTCAGAGCTGAGATTAGATCACATTTTAAAAGATAACAGCGTGTGCAGCATTGTGTCTGACTGATGTTTACTCTCTGTTTAACAGCAAAAGGCCTCCATGATCTGTCCTGTTGAAGGTTTGGACGCCCCGCTGACTGATGGGAGACTCTGTAGGGAGGCTAGAGTGGGAGGTGGGAGTGCTGGGAAAGGTCCTAATGTTAATCCGCTTGCAGCACTCTGAGGGTCCCGTCTATGTCCGCTGCTGATCCTCTTCCTGTTTGGACTCAGCTTCGTGTTACAGTCGCCATACAACACAATGTCAACACAATGCATGCTGGGAAGCCGTCTTATTTCCTGTTCTTATGGATACGGACCACCAACCTCACCTTGGGTTAACCCCACAGGTCAGGAGTGTTTTCTCTGCTGACATGTTCGCAGGAGGAGGCTCAGCGTCTGCTCAGTGTCTAATGACAGAGCGGGTTCACATTCCCATCAGCTTGTGCTGGTACAACATGCACTCCCTGATCCTGAACTAAACCAAACATCAGTGCTAGTGGTACGAAACCCTTCTCTCAAGCTAATTCATACAGGGGGTCCCTCTTTAAAAACAGTTCTGTAAAGTTGTCTGCAGTTTTGGATTAAGTTTACCAACTCATCGTCCACAACATTTTTAAAAAGGAGAATCTTTAAAGTTAAATGTTTTCACTTTTATGATCATGCTACTTGCTAAGAGAGGATTGGGAAATCCAAGCAAATGTTTTGTTTCAAGTTTCTCTGTTACCAAAAGCAAAGAGAGCCGAACATCCAAAACCCTTAACTTTAGAACCAGTCTGTGAAATACTACGATCAGGGATCTGGTGCCAACGGGCTGCACCCTTCTGGGCATCAGCCAGTGGTTTGTCGACTACCTTTGGAAACCTCAAGTTCAGTATTTATGCTGCTTCATTCTCACTTTTTTTGGAGCCAGAAGTGACCACATTTGGACAAAGAGAGGGTGAAGAGGATTAAACAAAACCTAAGTTATCGTAGCCACAGAGAGTGCGACCCTGGCTAATTAATTAACGGATTATTCGCTTTTCATCAGCTGGGTTTTCCACACGGTGATCTATCTGTGGTGCTGGCTGAAGTATCAGCAACGTTTGACAATCATTTCTTCATCCTTCTTGGTAAAAGACATTAAGAAGTTATATATTTGGAGGGTTTATCGGAAGCAGAGACGCTTTGAAATATGAGATTGGAGTATTTAACCAGCTGGATGAAAAAGACCATGTGCTTTCTGTTTGTTTACTCAAACTCTGACGAAGAAAGAAAACATAGCTTGAGAATAAAATAATAATCAAAAAGTCATCAGGGTCAGAGAGCATCCCATAACTCAACGCTTACAACAAGTAGGCCTCCAAAAAATAGAGACGAATTTCCGCCCTGTTTTTTTTCTCCGAAACCACAAACACAGTGATGGATGCGAAGCAGACACACAGCTGTGGGGAATGTGATGTGTCACATAACAAGTGGCTTCGCTCCACAGCTGGGAGCGTCTGGTACCATTCATTCACAGCAGCGGCTTCTTCTTCTAATCTTAATAATGACAGGGTCCTTAGCAGCTGGCAATTTTCACAGAAAGACAGAGAAGAAGAAGAGGCTGAAAACATCAGCGGAGAACTCTGACTGCGTTCCCTAGTGCGCATCAGAGAGTTCAAAAAGAGATGTAAATGCAGGAAACAAGAGCAGACGGGTGGGACAAATGTGTTAACATACAGTTTTGTGTGGATAGAAGAGTGTGTGCAGGGAAGTTTTGCAAAGATATTCCCTTTAAATACAACAACAATGATGGTTGTTTGTGTGTTTAACATGTAAAGAAAAAACAGATTTCACTTATTAAACAGGAGCATACTGAACTCTATGATGTGTACTGTGAGATAATAAATATGACATGTATCTCTAAATGATAGTTCATGATGATAAAGGGAAAAGAGAAACAGACAGTAAGGAGAGAGATACATACAAACTGTGCAAATCAAAGATGAAGATTTGATCATCTTCCTGAAAAGAAAATCTCCCCAGCAGAGAGCTGCACATACATTTGGACATGTCCTTACCTGATCTGCTAACATCTGGCGCTCTTTCCTCTCAACCTGTGTCCTCTCCTCTGCTTTGCTTTCAACTGCAACAACCTCCCCAACTTCTCGATGACAAACTCCTCCCACAGGGGAGAGCGAGAGATGAGTGGAGAGGGAGGAGAAGGAGGAAGAAGAGGAGGACGAGAAGAAGAGGGGGGACGGGCTCTTCCTCCTCGTGTAGGATCAGCAATTGGAGTGGAAAAACCTAAAAGACAAACACGGGGCTGTGAGATCAAAGTCTGGTCCAAAGTGCTGGTGGTTTAAGGAACAGCTTTGTCATTATTGTTCAGAAATGAGGAAAGATAAAAGAGCAAACACTAATGTAAGGAAACACCAAAGGGACGGAAAGTAGACTTCAAGTGCTTTGAAAAAAGGGTACAAACATTTCAGAAGAAGAAAACAAAGAAGATTTAGTCAACTCAAATTGCAATTTTCCAACATTTTTAAAAAAAGCTCATTTTATTACCTGTCAATTCCCTTTTAATTCTCAACAAGAGAATCCTAAAAATATTATTTATATCAATGATAATACATGAAATAACGCATCAAATAATGTCACCATGTCCTACAGCGGCTGTTGACTTATACCGTAAACCTTCAAATAAACGCCCCATCTAAATTTCAGCCCAGTCCTTCATACTATTCTGGTGTTGCTACAGGTTTTGACAAATAAAGGCAGGTGTCATTTTTGCATTTAGCGTTGACTAGTTCGCGGATTAATGTACATTGTAATAGTAGTCCTTCTAAAAGCTTGTGCTGTTACTAGAGGTTTTACGGTAAGCTAACTCGCATCAGTTAAACTGAGCGCTAGCTAGCTTGTTAACATATAACGCAGATTAAAAACAACTTGTGGATTCCGCGACATGTTTTCATCATGTAATTAGTTGATAAAATGTGCTGTTAGCACAACTTATTATTCATTACACAGGTTTAAACAAGAAATAACGTACCATTGTATCCGGCTAAGCCTGTGTTGTCGACAGACGAGACAGCGGTCAAATCAGCCGCCGCTTGAAAAATGATGCGTGTCTATACCGGGTTTACGGTACAGGTGCTTGGAGCGCCCAAAAAGGAGAAATGCAGCCGCATATTTTGACAACTTGTTATTAAATAAAAAGTGTAAAATAATTACAAAATAATTACAAAAATTGTAATAGCTCTCTAAATTTTAAGATGCTTTAACTGAAAAGTTTTTGAGAAGAATGAAGGGAAATTCTGCTCAAATTGCATTGAGACGCTTTGATATTTAAGTCATATTGATTATTTTATTTTGAAAAACCTGGAACAGGTGACAAAGATCTTTTAATGGATTCTTGTTCCATATGTCCCTGGCTGTCATCCTGATAATTTACAGCAGACTTTACTGTATAGTTTTTTTTAAATAATTACAGGTAAATTCTGCTCAAATTGCATTGAGACGCTTTGATATTTTAGTGATTTAGATTATTTTATTTTGAAAAATCTGTGACAGGTGACAAAGATCTTTTGAGTGAGTATCATGTAATGATGATATCCCTTTGTTAATGTCCTGTATTTTTACAACGATATGGACCTATGGGTCCGAAATAAAGTATTAAGTAAAGTATACATCAGCCCCTTGAGTGGTTTAGAAAATCTCAAATAAATATTTTGTTATAAAACTAATACCTTGGAAAGAGAAAAAGGGCGATTTCTGCAGGAAGCAAAGCAAACTTTTAAGAAGCATATTAATTCGACATTAAACTATACAACTGTTTCAAGTTTTGTGGCAGTTCAGGAAATTGTAAGGCATGGGGAGGAGGACATGAAATAATCAATAAAATAGGCTATCAGAAGATCAGACCTCAAAAACAACAGCAGGTGAGATGACAGAGTGCCCAGGTACAGAAGGTGCTCTAACTATCTTAAAAAGACAGAGTAAGAAGCCTCTGCAGTGACTTCTCATTTAAACTTGTTAGTTTAAAGTTTAAAGTTGTCATTTAGTTCTATTAGAAATGTGAGTGGGCTTAGACAGGCTGTATAAACGTCATTGAAAGGTTCAAATAGTCTAGCCTATATTTTGCGGCTCCAGACGGATTTTTTTGGGTGGAGCTACTGGCAAAAATGTCTCTTTTGCAGACCCCTGCAATTACCCAAAGAGTCAATTATCTTGTTCCAGACATACTTCTTTTGTAGATGAATCAGGAAAAGAAAGAATTGGACGAGTTTTCATTTTTTATTAATCAGCAAGGGAGTTGTAGAATGAGGTGTTTCTTCGCATGTCCTGCGATGTGACTATTGCGCATGCTCACATCACGATGACGATGAAACAATATGTCGTGTAGTGTGGACATTTTGGATGTGGTTGGCTACAGAACTCCACCTGGCCACAACCTCCTCCCCTAATGCTGAAGTTGATGCCGCCCAGTAAAGGTGTTTTATCACGCTCTTCCCTCACAAGTCAACATCCTGTGTTTTGGTTATTTTTGCAAGCGCATCCATTTTTTTTCTCCCAATCCTTGGCCACAAGACAGAACATTTTCAAACACAAATTCATTTTTTTTATCATTGTTTAATTCAAATACATACTGTTTGCCATATGCCAAGGGTCAAAGTAGTGGGTCATGTCTGGTCTCTGCTCCCCCAAGAACTTCTACCCCATATGTCTGTGGGTGACAATGGCCTTGATCCGGATCTCTTTACTCTCCATGAGAGACAGACTTTGCTCAAAGCCCTCCTTCTCCATCTTTAAGCTGTTTCCAACTTCATTGCTCTGCCAAACAAAAGAAGTAGACAAATGCTCTGCAACGTTCATACAAAAGGACTAATATGATTCCTATTTCCAACAGTGTATCAGTGTTATACCTGCACTAGCTGAATGTCAAGGACCTTGTTTGTTTTGAGTTCCATCATAGTGGAGCCCCCATACCTGGCAGATTGTCCTGCAATTAGATAAATTGATAAACGCAAAAAAATATATTCTTTTCTTTTTATGCATTAATGGACAATAATTACCACGGAACCACGGAAAGCTTTTCTTTGACTGTCAGCATTTTTAAGACGGTGTTTTTGGGCTCTCCATATCTGTTCATTGCATTCTGCGTCACCATATTTCTTCGCTGCTTGGTGGTTGATTGTCGACTCTGCTAGTTTTATCACCAGCATCTTAAAGTTAGCATCAACACTTCTCATTTGTTTGTTAACTTGCCCCACTTTAGAGCAGCTTTATTCGGGCTGTCACTGTGCGTCTGCATCATTCAGGCGAACTGTCACTGATGTGAGTTTTGATTGACCGCTCCTCCAGTCGTGAGGGGCACATTCAGGTTATGGGGATTTTGGCGCCACCTGCTGTTGTGGATCTAAATTGCTGTTTAAATGTCTAAACCTCAAATATAGTACGACCCCTCTTTTTTCAGATATATTCATTAGGAAACAAACGTGTTGTATATTCGGGTCAATACGGTACAAGTGGAACAGAACCTGTTATTAATAATTTGGTCCTAACTCATCTGTGATATCTTAAAAAAAAGATGAGCCTGTGAACAGAAGCGCTGCACACACAGTTGAAAGTTTCCTGCAGGTATGTTTTTTACCATTGGCTGGCTTGACCACTGATAAAAGTACTTGCAGTGAGTACAGCTCTGCTTTACATGTGGGGGTGACCCAACAACTGATGCAGTAATGCCGCAGCTCCGGTTCCCCTAACACACAAATTCTTAATTTGACTATAAAAAAAAATCCAATTTCAAAAAGAATAAATAAAGTAATTGAATTGAACCAGAAAATGACGTGGAAAAAGTGATTATTTTAGTCATATTGATTATTTTATTAGAAATCTCTGACAGGTGACAAAGATCTTTCAATGGATTCTTGTTCCTCATGTCTCTGGCTGTCATCCTGAGAATTTTCAGCAGATTTTACTGGATTAAAATAATCAACTGAGTCCAAACTGGACTGAGTCCAAACACATGACCATCTTTTTACCTCAAAACCCTTTTCTTTATATAACTAACTTTGTGGTTAACTCCGTTTACTTTACCATTTGTAGTCTTTTAATGTCCGAACGTAGTTGGAAGTTATTTTCCATGTTTAATAATCATGAAGTGGCTCATACAGACATGTCTTCTTCATGATACCTTGCATGATGATACATTTATTTGGAGATGCAGATTGAAATCCAAAGTGGTAAAAAGCTCCTGTATTTCAAATAAATCCCAAAATATCTAAAAAGTAAATAGTTAAAACTCAGAGACTTGTAGGTAAAAGAAAAATCTACATAGGAAGTTATTTGTTTGTTTTTGTATTATCTATATATTTGTTTATTCATTCATCAACTGGGATTAACATTGGTTTCCAAATAATTTCATCCATTTTTTCACTGTATCTTGCATTATTTGATTTACTATTTCTGTCTTCTTTTTTTTCCATAAGTGGGTGTGTTGCTTTATGTAAAACTTATTGTTACTGAACAGAAACTGTCGACTTTTTCTGCCCTGATGGTCGTGACTTTTAACCTCCATCAAACATGAAATAAAGCCTGCAGACATACCCATGTTGCACGTGTCTGCAGGTCTTCTCTCAGCTCACACTGAGCCGGTGCATCAGCTCAGTGGTTTCTTGTTGAGTGTTGTGCAGCGCCGAGGCTCATAACAGTTCACACAGGACATTTTGTCAGAGAAATAAAACATTCCTCAGCGTCAGAGTGAGACGGCTTCACTGGGTCCTGACGGCTCCTGTGGTTCTGCAGACAAATCAGAGCTCAGACTGTTACAGCAGACGGCCAGGTGCAACTTTCTGCAGCTCTCTGAGAGAAACAACAAGATCAGAAACAGAAATATCAGAATATTATTCAAAGTCAGGATGATCCCAGGAGTCTGTTTGGGTTTTTTAAACGTCCCTCTGTTCCTCCTCCTGCTGAGCTCGGTCTCAGGTTTGTTACAGATGGACCAGCGCAGAGATGCAGACGACGACCAGGAGTTAAACAAAGCTATTTTAGAAATGCTTCATATCAACAAAGTGTCTGCGAGTCATCAGAATAAACCTCATCCTTACATGAGGAGGGTCTACCAGCGTCTGGACTCACTGGAGGCTCAGGACTTTGGGAGCTCGGATGGGACGCTGGTGCAGAGTTTCAGGAGTGTGGATGGTAAGGATTCAAAAGTAATTACAATCTTAAGAATCACGCTAATTTATATTTCTATAGCAAAAATGTTCTAATCATGGAAAGAAATCCTCTGACTCTGGTTGTAAAGAAACCTGAACAAACGTATGTTTAATGAGTCTTTGCAGTGTTGTCTAAACCTGAAAGTTTTCCATCAGCTGAACACCTGCTGTGACGTCACAGTCTGCAGTTTTGCTCAGGTGTGCAACATGCTTAAAGCTCATCAAATAATTGTACACGCAGAGTATCTCAATATGTGGAAGAGTAAAAGGGCAAGACATGAGAATGAAATGTAAAGAAGGATGTGTCTTAATTAATTTTGCAGTGGAGTCTCCCCCTGCTGGCCATTAGAGAGAATGCAGGTTTAAGATTTACTGATTAACTAACAGACTCTGAGGTTAAAGTTTGCTGTTTTTATACAAAACAGAACGATTTGAAGCAAATGCATGTCGGGAGAAGCAGTCAAAACAAAAACATAAAAAATCTGAATCTGCATATAAAGCCTTTTTTGTCTCACTCAGGTCCTCATCACGCTCCTCCTGGATGGATCTGGTTTAACGTCAGTGGTCTGAGCCCCTCCATGCTGGCCGCAGAGCTGGTTCTGTTCAGGAAAACTCTGCACCCCCGTCCCCTCAGTGTGACCGTCACCCTGCACAGCCTCACCGCCTCCTCAGTGGACGTCCTGAGGGAAAGTCCCGCCCTCGAGGAGAGGCTGCTGACCCTGGACCAGAGACCCCCCTCTGGATACGATGTGTTCGACGTGTCTGCTGTCCTGGATGTGAAGCCTGTGGAGGTGGTGGGATTTCAGCTGCGTTACACAGACGAGAGCGGGAGTCTGGTCCTCCATGAGGCTCTGACTCAGAGTCTGTACTCTCTGGACAGAGGGTCTCTGAGTGAGCCCTTACTGGTGCTCTACCAAACACACCCCCTTCTCATATAAATGTTACAGGAACCAAGAGGAGCATGAAAACGTTTCCTTTAAAATATATTTTATTAATCATCTCTGACTTAATTAGGATGAACCTGGCTTTTATTTGTTGGAGAATAATACTTATGTACAGGACAGGATCAGTAAAGACATAAAGAAGTATAACTTTGTCCACAGGGGGGCGCCAAAATCAACACAAACAGACAGTCCCTTACAGGGGTTCGATCAAAACCATCAAAACTGCATGACTGATCCTAATTAATGTGCCAAGATGTAAAAGGAAAAACACAAAATTAACACTTCTTCAATGCTTACTGTTTAGTGATGTAAGGTATTGCAAGTGTTGAGAATCTTGACAGGGGCGTGTCCAGACTTTTTTGACCAGGGTAGCTCACCTGGGGCTTTGACCTGTGCATATTTAAAGGTACAGACACAGAAACAGCCTGTTCTGAGCAGGGCTGAAATAGAGGGGTTTATAGTCATGATCAAATACAGGATCAGAGTGGATTTAGAACAAGAAACTTCACACACATGTTTTGAGGAGCTCTGAGACTTATTTAAACTGAAGAAGAGGAGGATGTATCTGAATATGTCGGTTGTGACGTTATTTTAACCTGAACACACAGTAAACTTAAGACAATTTAATCAACAGCTGGTAAACAAACTGAACAGTGAAATCATGGAGAGATACATCCTGGTGGAAACTGTAGAGCATAAAAACGCAGAACTACATTTGGCCAGTCACAGTTTGTCCTTATTGTAGCATTTTATATGTACTGCAGAACAATGTCTGTAGGCCTATTTGTATAATATTTCTATTTCTTTAAGTCTAATGCTTCTGTTTTAATCCTAAAAGCCTAACCAGGGTGAGGGAACGCAAATCAGACACATCTAGAAACCTGTTTTCATGGCCTCTACTTTGTATTTCAGCATATAAAGCAATGTTCAGTGCATGTGTACCTGCTAAATAAACTAATACAGTGATGCCTTAATTTCTGATTAAAGAGATTTAACAGGATAACACATGTTTGGTTATTCGTGTGGATAATTATTGATTTGAATAGAACACACACTCATTTGTTTATTTGATTAAAAATGATCGCCGCTGTAACGTTTTAATTATTAAGATGATTACTGTTTTAGTATCAGCGCTACCGTCTGTTCATCATGTAGGCCACAGGAAGTGCTTTATCTTTCCTCTAATGTGATTGGCTGCAGCCTCAGTCGCTCAAGTATTTCCCAGCCAATCGCTGCCCACCTCCCACAGCAGCGGCCCCGCCCTCTGTAGGCGCTATCCTCCCAGAAACAGCGGATCGTTTTTATCCAGCTTTTTTTTTCCTCCTCGATATTCTTCGTGTTTGATTTCGGCTCCACGCGTGTTAGAGGGGATTTAAGCTTCTTGAAATCATGCTCCCGGAGCGGGTTTAGCTTCGGCGGGGCTGTGGACATCTGAAGCCGGGGCTCAGTGAGATGCGTCCCCGCGGCGCTGAACCTGCTCCGTCCTGCACACAAAGCCTGTGAAGCAGGCCGAGCTTTTTCACTCCCTCCTCCGCCGATGATGCTCAAACATGACGGGGAATCATTTCAAAGGCCAGGAGGTCAGCTGCTGCATCAAATACTTCATTTTCGGATTCAACATCTTGTTCTGGGTAAGATGGTTTATTTCTATGTTGTGCGCTGCTCTCCTTAAAGGTCTTTATCAGCCAATCAGCCAATAAGAGGAAGGCCTCGATCATCCCGTTTTATAACCTTTCAGTTTCACATTCACGACGCAACCAGGCCTCCGTGATTTATAAGAGTTTCTAAGAGTTTATACTGGTATTGTCCGGAGGAAACAGCTGCAGGTCAGCTGACCACACGCACGCACACACACACACACACACACACACACACACACACACACACACACACACAGATAATCGGCTTTTTTTTTCTTTCTGAAGTGAACTGTGTAGAGCTGAGCAGCTTATCATTCATACTGTATGTGCGGCGCTGAGCACTGACTGCACAGGTTTCCACCTTACACTGCAGATTATGTTTAAACATGACGTCACGGGTCCTAAATCATGATGTCATACCTGTCAGAGAGATGTATGCACCTGCAGCCTGTGCAACAACCTGGGGAGAATATGTGCATGATGATAGTTATTTAGAGAAAATGTCAAAGAAAAAAAATTACAAATATGCATGAACTCAGGCCTGATCGATGTCTGATTTTTATTGGTCCGAAACTGAAATTGCAGTTAATTGATGAATAATGTAAATATTCGAGTATTTACATAGATATCAGTACATGCCAGAGCCCGACCGATTATTTAGCCAGTCGATAATATCGGCCGATACGAGCATATCAAGTGACTATCAGTATCGGCTAATTTATCTCAGATATGTGCCGATATTACAGATTTATTCACCAGTCAAACAGCATTTCATTTGAGTTTCATTGTATTACACTAGAAGTTCTCTGTCACCAGCAGAGGGCGCTATATGATTACAAAAGCATCATCACTCTGCAGAGTGTCGAGCGGTGATGCAAATACACACTCAGTTACTTTCCAGCTGAGTGACCATCTTCTCTTCATTATAAATCTTTTCCACAAGTGTTTGATAACTGAGGATCAACACAATAAATGTGTTTATCTATATTTCTATCTCTACAGATCTAAGAAAGATAGTGGCCGATGTATCAGATTTTATATCTCCCCAATATCGGTATCGGCCCCAAAGATCTCAGTTAATGGACATGTTACACTGATTGTGATATTGCAAAGTGAAATGTGCAGGCTGCAGAAGGTGCTGAGTTTTGAACGATTTCAGCGCTGCAGAGCTACTTTATTGTTTTGGTTTTGTCTCATGATCCTGGTTTCACAGATTTCTAGTCGAGTAATATCTGTCGGTATGTTTCAGCTGCTGGGCATGGCCTTGGTTGGGATCGGACTCTGGGCCTGGAGTGAGAAGGTGAGCTTTTTAATACACTGAAAACTATAAATAAAGTGTTTCTACATGAATAATGTTACAGCTGATGATGCAGAGGAGTGTGTTATATTGTTATATTATCACGTTATCCTTTTTTACAAATTACAGCTTCAAAGTGTAATATTCTGTTTGTACAAAGGATCAAATATCTTTGTGTAAGGTGAAAGATGGCGCCTGAAGGTGAAGTCGTTCCCCTTTCGGAGGCTTATTTAGAAAAAAAATGATACAGACGTTAACTGATAGAGTCCCAGTGTGTCGTCAAACATAAAATAACGTGTGCCAACTAAGATGACCCGCGAGAGAATTATTCATCACCCCTCCTGATCAACATAACCCTGTGGCCTCTTTGTGATTTTTATTTCAACAACCTGCGAACTCTCGTTTAACTCGCCTTTTTTTTTAACCTCTGATAAACCACTTTTACACCAAACAGCATACCGACCACGTTAACGTTTAATTAAAAGCCCCGGCTTGTTTTGTCTCCAGTCTTCAGGCGTCAACACGAGACGAAGCTTCATATTTTCAAACCAAACTCGTGCACAGCTAAGACGGAAAGATTATCAGAAAGAATATTTTACTGTGAGCAAAATCAGGATATGGATGAACAAATGCTTGTAAAAAGAGACCGGGCCTCAAATTGGGATGGGCTTTTATTTGGAGTTTTACGTACCTATGTTAGCTCCACTGCCCCCTTGAGGACAAAAAACTATTCCAGCTTTAAATTTCAGAAACATTTGATCCTTTTGAAGGCGATTAAACAAAAGTGAATAATTAAGATTAGTGAGTGCAAAGATCAAGGTGTTTTTTGACTGATCTGTTTTGGTGATATTAAGCCCAATCGGATGGTTAACTTAAGACAAAGGTCACACAGGTTGGGTTTTTTATAGCACAGCAACGCCACGAGTGCAGCAGCCGACCACCCGTCGTCGTTCCTCCTCTCCGCTGAGCCACATCCGTGTAAGAGCAGGACCTGAACCCTGCTCGAGGAGAGACAGAACTCAACATAAACGTGACAGTTTTACAACTGCACGTCTTCTGTCCTATTGTTGCTTTAAAGGAGCAGTATGTAACTCTGACCCCTAGTGTTTAAAACGGGTACTGCAGTCACAATTCTAAACATTGTAGAGAGCTGTCTCCCCCCGCCCCCTCCTCTCTAGAGTCGATGCTCACACAGGTCACCATGTGGTGGATACTGAAGCTTCAGTGTTTATCCAGCTCTGCATCGGTCTGTAAACCTTTCTGTGTTCTAACCTCTCTCCATTTTTCAAAAGCATCTCCAATATTGATCCTAGTTTGAGCACGTTTCTGCTCGTGGAGCTTATTAGAAACATGCAGAGGCTTTTTAGGTCGGGTACAATCACTTCTATCTGAACCACTTCTCTTGCCCGCTTCCATCACTGCAACACCTGTTGACCTGATAACTGCTCTCATATCTGACAAACTGAGGGGCGTCCCACAAAAATGTGCACTAGTTTGTTTGCAGCAGATTTGACAAACATGTTGTGTCCTGACATGGAACCAGATGACTCAAACTGAGCGTTCTCTCTCTCTCTCTCTCTCTCTCTCCCTCTCTCTCTCTCTGCAGGGTGTTCTGTCCAACATCTCGTCCATCACAGACCTGGGGGGTCTGGACCCGGTGTGGCTCTTCATGGTGGTCGGGGGGGTCATGTTCATCCTGGGGTTTGCAGGATGCATCGGAGCGCTCAGAGAAAACACCTTCCTGCTCAAGTTTGTACGTTCTATGAAAAGACTTCTCTTCTCTTTTTAAGGGCGCACTCACACGAGGCAGTCCGTGCCGCGACCAAACACGTTGGACCCCAAGAGTCCAGTTCGTTTTACTGATGCGAGAGCTCTGTACTGTGCCAAAGCTCGGTACACTTCCTTGTCACTAGCACAGTAAGAGGTGGTCAGTCATGGCTCAGCACGGTCTAGTGTGAGTGAGCCGCCCTGAATGAGCGATTAAAGAGTACTTCTTCATCAGAATGACTTGTCTTTTTGTGTCCTGCTGCAGTTCTCCGTCTTTCTGGGGATCATCTTCTTCTTGGAGCTGACGACGGGCATCCTGGCGTTTGTGTTTAAGGACTGGATCAAAGACCAGCTCAACCTGTTCATCAACAACAACATCCGAGCGTACCGGGACGACATCGACCTGCAGAACCTCATCGACTTCACTCAGGAATACGTGAGTCCTGTGCACCTCTCTCATGAAACACCTGTTCGCTCACTATGAGGCTGCAGGATTAATACCAACAATCAGAGATCAGAGATCAGCTGTGTGGGCCAACAGCAGCAGCAGCTCTAAACCTGCTCTGCTGAGGCTTTACACTTCAAAATCCACAATCTGGTCTGAGTGGATTTAAGTCATTCTTAATGAACGCAGCCAATCAGGTCATCGGGCCAGACGAGTCCACTCCTGATGTAATTTGATTGCCTAATGTCTGGTCCTTAAAAAAACCCTGACACTTTGTTCCTCTCTGCAGTGGGAGTGCTGCGGAGCGTTCGGAGCCGACGACTGGAACCTGAACATTTACTTCAACTGCACCGACGGGAATCCGAGTCGGGAGAAGTGCGGCGTTCCCTTCTCCTGCTGCACAAAAGACCCAGCGGTACGACTCCCTCACTCTGCATGCTCGTTTAACAATAACACAATCCCGCACAGAGGTGCACACAGGGCCAGCAGGAACCAGAAAGAATAGAAGCTAGAAGATGTTGTTTGATTGTTATTTTTAATGTAACAACATTTAAAGATCCTAACAGAAGCCCCGTGCAGACTGACTCAGGATATTTACGCCCGATCCCCCTCCTCTGTATGTGTTACAGAGGAGATAGGGAAGCACAGCGCTGTGTGTGTGCATGTCTGACTGTGTGTGTATGTGGAGCTTCAGCTGTGCAATATGACACCGTCACAGAATCAAAATGAACGTACAAAGAGGTGATGGCGGCTGAGCTTAGTTTCAGCACTTTTGCAGAAAAAAGCCGTCTGATCAGGGAGGCTACTGATCGACCTTTTTGATTTAGAGTGAAGCAGCTGGTACATCACTCTCTTCAAAGCCACCAGACTCCTCTGACGGAAACACAAATGTTACCTCACAGGACACGGGAGTTCTTAGATCTGTTAGCTACCTTGGCTCGTTTGGATACGGCACGATATTTGTGAACAAACAAACTGTCGACCCGCAGCTCAGGTTTGTTTTTGTTTGTTTTCTCGTCGAGTCATTTAAACTTCACAGAAGACGGGAGTTGCTGTTCTGCCTCTTCCTCGATCAGTCGATTGGTTTGTGTATGTTCTGGTTGAGCAGGTCCAGCACAACATGTGGCACATCCTTCAGATCCGACTAATCCTCAAAAACATTTTTATTTCATTCTATTCATCACTTTATGTTCCAGTTATCCTCAAAACCAGAACCTGTCTTTGTGCTTTGTTCTGTTGCTGCTGGTGTGACCTTGGAATATAAATCCAGAGCACCTAAAGGACACACTTCATATCGCTGCTTTTTAACATGTTGTTGTTTCTGTCTCCAGGAGGACGTCATCAACACTCAGTGTGGATACGACATCCGAGCTAAACCTGTGAGTAACACAAACAATCGTTTCCATCGATGACTTCTCCCAGTTCATTGTGGTTCTTTTCACTTTGTGCTGAACTGTACGGTTAAGGATTCAAATTAGGAAGCTAAACATCTGTCAGACCACCAACTGATCATAATATTCAAACTAAATCGTTCCTGCTGCATCAAGAAGAGTCCCCACGATCCAAATCCAGAGAGAAAGATTTAATCCAGACACTTCACATCCAGAAAGATCCTCGGACTGATTCAAATTTAACCTCAGCTCTTCACGATTCCCCCCTCTGTATTTTCTGTAATAATTCATTTTTATGATTTAATTTGTTCATCTGCGGTGCATCAAATTAACAGTCGCAGTCTGTCCTTTTGATTGACACCTCATTCGGCCAGTTAGGACCTTCCACTCACTGCTCCCAGCCTGTAACAGCCAATGAGAGCCTGAGTTGAAAGAAGGTGCCTCTCCCCCTGTTCTGATGTATCTATTGCTGCTTTCAGGTGCTGCTCGGTGGTCCAAGTTTCTGAGTTGGGAAGTTGTTCTTTCGACTTCAGTGTGTTTATGTGATTTCAGTTCAGAAAGTCTGAATGTTGTAACAACAGCAAAAAAAAAAAAAAACAGCATGGACACTACGAAGAAGAAGACGTGTGAATGTCTCTTTTATGAGTTTTATTTGAGCAAAAAGTTGATGTGCAATGTGAATTCATAAAAAGTCTGTTAACATATTTTGCCCACCATTTTGATGAAGAATATGTCAAGTCGAGAAGTCGGGCACCTGATTCTTCTCCGGGTTTCCAAGTTGTTGTTCTGAATTGAGCAGTCGTTCACTTGCAGTTTACATCTCAGAAACTCGTTTTTTCAAACATGTCCAACACTACATGAATGCACCATGAACCCGGCCGATTGCACGCAACTGTGCCAATGTCTGACGTGTTGTAGCCAATGAACACGTGGACATGCTGCTTCTGTCAAAACTTCAGGGTGATTTCTTCATGCACACACTCAGGAGGTTGATTTAAAGAACGAGTGGCTTCTACATTCAAAGCTTTTATAGAGAGGCTCTGAGTCGTGATCTGTTCGGAGAAAACGGACTAAACTATGTCACCTCAGACTTCAAACACCCCTCTGAGGCTGGACTGGAATGATCCGTGTGCTCCACTGTGATGGTGCCTTCATGTGGTGTCGGACATGTTGGAAAAAAGAATGAGGTGCCCGATATCCCTGATTTGACGACATATTCTTCATCAACATGGCGGGCAAAAGACGATTTCTGAAATCACTTGAACACACTGAAGTCAGAAGAACGACTTCCCAACTGTGAAACTGGGACAACCCGAGCAGCACCTGAATGCAGCACAAGACCGGCAGTGGACTGAGGCTCTGGCGGAGTGTTCGGGGTCAACCCTCGGTTAAATGAATAACTTTTTAATGTAACTGAAAGACTAGAAGGCCAGATTTCTTAATGGTGTTTGTGTTGAAGCCGTGAATGTGACGACTTTGTGTTTGGTGTCAGGACTCGGAGCAGAAGGATTACATCAACGTGAAAGGCTGCGTGCCGCAGTTTGAGAAGTGGCTGCAGGACAACCTCACGCTGGTGGCCGGGATCTTCATCGGAGTCGCTCTGCTGCAGGTCGGTCCTCCCTCCACACGCCGTTTAAGAAATCACTGCGTTCTTTTGTCTCTTCTTTCTTTAAAGTCCTCGGCTTTTGTTTTTGATTCCTTCAGATTTTCGGGATTTGTTTGGCCCAGAACTTGGTGAGCGACATCGAGGCTGTGCAGGCGAGCTGGTGAGAAGAATTAAGATTTTATTTTCTCATGTGCCGTGAGACAGGAAGCTTCACGTTTGTCCCTCTGCAGCACGCCATCCATCTGCTTTGACTGTTTCCATCTCACAGCACGAGACGAGTCAGCTCTTTGATTCACTCTGAAAGCACCAGGATGTAGTCATTTAGAGATTTACATTTCAATTAAGAGCTCAGTTTATATAACATACAAGCATATATAGTTATATATAAACATAACATCAGTGGAATCAAGTGTGACTGAAAATATAAAAGACTTCTTGATGGTCACTGTGGTCGGGACTCGTCAATCACAGGAAGCTCCGCCCCAAACCCTCCCCCTCTTTCTGGTCCCTGAGACTATACTTAAAAAAGTTTAAACCATGCTGTGTTGAAGAAGACCTGAAACTAGAGATTGAGAGCATGAACTCGTTAGGAAAATGTATAGTGAGGGAATAATCAACTGACAAGTAGGAAACATCTTCTCATAGGCTTCTATGTAATCAGAGCCAGTAGAGTCGCCCCCTGCTGGACAAACTTTGACACATGGGCTCGAGCAACTTAATGAAAACAATAACAAAGAGATGAACATGCACAGTCAGCCTCATCAGCTCTTCATCAAACATCTTTCCTTCATGTAAGACGATGTTTCACTCTGCGGAGGTTTTTACTGATCTCTCTTCTGAACCGTAATGATGCAGAAAAACTCACCTCACGCCTCATTCTTCCTCCTCCTCCTCCATGCTTCGTCAGGGTGCCCCCCCCTCTCTCCATGCGCCGACTCCCTCCACACTCCAGCAAGAAAGCATCGGCTTACTACACATGAGACACACACACGCATACACGCTGTATGTGTGTGTCTGTAGCCGGTGGGTGTGATGGATCCATGTGCTCGTTGTTTTGTCTTTTAGCGTCGCTGTGATTGGCTGGGTGTTTGGTGTTGTGTTCAGGGACATTTAGTATCCATGTTTGATAACCTGTTGGTGTCTTGTTTAAAGCTGTGTCCTCATGCTGAACTTGGATACATATATATATATATATATATATATACACATATATATAAAAAAGTTAACCAATTAATGGAGAAAAGGAGAAATCTTCAAATTTAAATCTTAATTTTGAGGTGTAAATTAAAGGAGCAGTATGTAACTCTGACACCTAGTGTTTAAAATGGGTACTGCAGTAAAAATTCTAAACATTGGAAAGAGCTGTCTCCCCCCGCCCCCTCCTCTCTAGAGTTGATGCTCATGCAGGTCACCATGTGGTGAACACTGAAGCTTCAGTGTTTATCCAGCTCTGCATCGGTCTGTAAACCTTTCTGTGTTCTAACCTCTCTCCATTTTTCAAAAGCATCTCCAATATTGATCCTAGTTTGAGCACATTTCTGCTCGTGGAGCTTATTAGAAACATGCAGAGGCTTTTTAGGTCGGGTACAATCACTTCTATCTGAACCACTTCTCTTGCCCGCTTCCATCACTGCAACACCTGTTGACCTGATAACTGCTCTCATATCTGACAAACAGAGGGGCGTGCAAAGAGTCCTCTATTTGAGATCTACCTTTATTTGTCAAAATGTGCATCAACAGCGGGCTAATAAAAGGGGTGTGGCCTTCAGTATGGATGGGCTTTTAACTTTTTTGAAGTTTTACGGTTGTTTAAATAGTTCATTTTCAGTGAATGTGGTCGTTTTGTCGTTCTGTAGAAAGATGAATTAGAGTGAGACTCTATGTGTCTGCATGTTGCTGAGCGTCCTCCATGTTTATACTGAGCCGTAGATTTCGAGTGTTACGCATTAATCAGCTGTGAAGTCACATGACGTAGACAACAATCCTTTTCTTGTTTCACTCTTCTGTCTCTCCTCAGCTCGTGACCTTCAGTCTTTAGTGTAGACGCCGATCCTCCACAGAAACCCGTTCCCCTCCGAACCTTTAACTTGTCCGTCTTTTCCCGTTCTGTGTTGTCCCAGACTTTTATTTTGAAAAAGTTTAATCCCCGTAAGATTGCTGCACGTCTTTACGCCTCTCTTGTCTCCTCTGTTCCAGTTTCTTCACCTAACCATGAAGCTGCGTTTGAACTCCCAACAGGTGAGGCTTCCTGTGAGTAACAGTCTCACATGTGGGGAAATTCTGTATGAAAAGTGAAATTAACGTCGATCATCTTGTGTTTCCTTTTGTTTCTCCAGCTGCGGGTCTTTGAACGAGCCTCCTTGAACACATCATTCGCGGTGCGTTTGAGGACTTCACGATCACCTGAACCACTTTGGTCCCTGAACCAGCACCTTCTCTTTCTCTCTCTGAGGCACTAATGACATGAAGCTCTGTGTAAATAAATAATAACACTGTGTGCGTGCTGTAAAAAAAGTTCAACGCTGGAGAAGATGGTTAACCATGCACATCGTCACAATGCTCCAGTTTTGATAGCGACGTGTAGAGAGTAGGAGTTTTATACATCTTTTTGATATTAGATCGGTATTTTTCACTGTGGAACTGACGCTCCATTCATTCACTCATCGTGTCGGACTGTTAAATATCTACATGTTCATTCCAGGGAGGAGGATCTGCTCATTGTGAGGTTTTAATGCTCGTTAATGTGACAGGAGACTAAAGCTGGACACACACCAGACCGTTTGAAAAACACCGCTCACCCTCAGGACACGAGGACAGTTTCAACTGAACATTAGAATCCAACTCGGCTCTGACCGCGAGACACCTGCCGCTCGTAGCAACGATTTCACAAACGGGATCTCACATAAACTTGAGATCGTCCGCTGGCTGTCGTCCGCTGGCTGTCCTGCCTGAAAAACCGACATCTGGACGGCTCATGTGCGGCGTTATACAGTTTGCAGAGCGAGTTCAGAGTACGCAGAATCTAGTCGGTGATGCTTCTAAGTCCGCTCGCTCTCATTGGCTGCTGCGGGAATTATGTCAGAGGTAGTCTGATCTGGATTCATAAATGTCCAACATGTTTGATATTTTTGAATCCAGGTTGAGGAGACTCTGACTCGATCGGGAGCGGTAAAAATGATCGTGATGGGTAAACACGCTTGAGGATTATTTGGAAAAATAATCGGTTGTGACGAGCCTCGATTCTGGCCACGCCCCCCGGTAGTTGGCGGGGCAAATTGGGACCTAAGTCTGACCTTAAATCGTTTAGTGTGTGGCCAGCCTGACTCATTCCACCCTCAAATTTATTAAAAGTTAAAAACAGTCTTTCATAAGGCAGCTTGAATTTAGAGAAGAACAAGGCTCCACTTTTTAAAAAAGTCTGCGTGCACAAACCGTTATTGGTTGCTGTGATTAGTCCTTCTCTGATTGGTCCCTGAAATAAGATATGGTTGACTGAAAGGGAGGTCGTCTTGGACGCCACGTGTTGCTGCCAAAACTTTTTCTCCTTCAGATGGGTTTTTGTTCAGCGCCCGCCGCCCGGTCATTATGCTGCGTTTCATTTGATCTCGGACGTCGGAAATTGCGAGTTGCCACTCTGACATCATCAGGAACGCCAGCCTGAAGTCTGAATTCTGACTCAGAAACTCTGAGAACCTTCAGTAGCTCAAGGTTAAAATCCAACATGGCGGCTGTGTGCATCAACAGTAACGTTTAAGTCTTCATCAGCAGCTTTTTGTGTTATTAAATCGATTACTGTGGACGCCATTTTCACGCACAAACTATCACGTAGCGTGTGGTTATCGTCTGGTATGAGCTAACACAACAAAGGCGTCCTGGAGGCGTCCATGTTGCTTGCTCGACAACTGGAACGCGGTTCACCTTCTTAGGATGAAAAAATAAAATCCGCAACCAGGAACTGTTTGTGACAAGAGAGTTTTAAAAATCGACTCAGAAAATATGAGCAGAATCCTTTTAAGTCCTAACGTGTTTTTTTTAAAAGGAGGGAAATGTTTCTAATGAGAAAGTTCAGATCTGAAGACGTCAGCCTGTGGATCTGGAGATGAAGTATCTGATCCATTTATGGACCACTAAAATTTAAGTCATGGTCGTCGTCACTTTCTAAGCATAAACACTTTAATTTACACTTTTTTTTAAAAGGAAGAATGTGCGACTTTTTGACCCAGTAGATGTCGCCCTTGAGCACCAGCATGAAACTAGAACAAACTTCCTGTTGGGCGACAGCTCCTCCATACTGAGACACACCTCCAACCACCCTCCACTTTGAACTCGCAAGGACGAGTTTAGCTCAAACGGCGCACAAAATTGTCCTTAGCTTGAGCTGCAATCACCTGTGGTCTGCATTGTTGTGTTAGCATGCTAATGTTAGCGCTCTTTAGTTAGCTCGTAGCTTCATATTGCACATAAACTGCCGCAGAATGACGGTGATCTAAAAACTCTTACTAACATCCAAATAATCAGTGAGTATGTTCTTCTTCTTCTCTCTAGTTCTTAACTAAAACAGCTTTTATACACAAGGGGAGGAGCCGGCCGTCCTGTCCATGTAAACACGGCACAGACAACAACACAGCCAGCAGGACTTGAGCTTCTCACTCATTGTAGACAGTCATGACTCAGAGACACATTTACACAGGATAGACTGGATTTATGATATATTTATGTGGAACGTGTCGCACATTCTTCCTTTAAAGGTTTTAATAAATGATAAATATCGGGTGGAAAATGTCCTGACGCTTCTACGACGACTTAATGTTTGTGTTAACTTTTCTAACGTGGAATTGAAGAGTTTGATGTTTGAAGCCACAGAGTAGTTAGTCTTCTGTGTCCCTGCACATTTTTAACACTTTTCCATATCGTGAGACGGACATTTTTGAGCGTTTTCTCCACTTTTCTTTTTTTTCGACCTAACTTGAATGAAAAGCGAGATTGCTTTCCACTCTCTTCAGTTTAAATCTATAAAGATGCATCCTGCAGCGTTTCAGGTGGATGCTTGGAAACAGACAGTGTTCGGGTGTTGATTTTTATCGGTGTTACTTCGATGGTTTAAAGTGATTTTTCTGCTCAGAGCATGCATCACTGACATTAGTAGCAAAGTATTTACAGTATTTTATGGTGACGTTTGTTCAGATGGATTTTGTCGGCGTTTGAAGCGACTGAAAAAGGGATCAACACTGTTTTTGATACTAATTATTTATTGTATTGACCGTTTTATATAACTACGAGCTGAACATTTAATCCAGCTGATTCATCACCGCAGATTGTCGTGCAGGCGTAAGGAAGGTCGTGTTGTTGTGTCGACCTCTCACTCATCACTTCCTGTTTCACCTCCGAGGGTCATTTAGACGATCACAGAACCTCCCACAAACATTGTAATGTAACTACCTCCTCTCATCTCCTCGTCTCATGTCCTGCTCAATCAGACTGCTTTTAATAGTCAGATTAATTAATAAAGGTGAAAAAAAAAACTTGGATGAAATGGTGTTTGGTCGTCTTGTTTTTTTTGGCTCTGAGCGCGCTCACTGGTTTGTTTATGCATCACAGCTTCCCACACATCGTCTGTCTGAGTCTGCACGTCTTTAACGTCTGTCGCTGCAGACACGGACCTCTCAAAGACACTCGGAAACAAGAACTTCTGTGTACAAAGAGACATTTATCATTTAGTGGATGGCAATATCGTCCTTCTTTCGCTGGCTGTCTTGTATTCTCCTGATCCCTTTTTTCAAACTCATATAGTGTCACACTGCTGGATGTCCAAACTAAACATTGGCAAAGTTTCAGATCATGATGTAAACATATGTTTACATACTGTTACATACTCTCTTCTCCCAGCTCTGGAGAGCAGCCCTCCCCTGGCAGCCCTGCAGCGTTCTGCCCAAACCCCCAGGAAGTGTGCCGACCACTGGTGGCCAAATTTACATGGTGGTCGAAGCTGGTATTGCAGCATCACGTGATGCCAATGGGCCCAAAAATACTTTCTCCCATCAGCTCAGAAATGGATGTATATAAACAGCTTTCCAAATGTATGATATTCCCTGGATTTTTGGCGCCTACAGGTCATGTCAGGCCACATCCTCCTCGCTCCGTGTCTGAGCGAGAAATAAAATATATATATATATATATATATATATATCAAATATAAAACATGCAGTAAAAAGTAACTGAGCAGTGTTGGTCATACAGTGGCCATCGTCAACACACTGTTGTCATAGAGACAGGCAACGTGCAGCGCTTTTCTTCTTGGCGCACAAACGCTTCATGAACACTAGACTAAAACTAAGGAGTTTTTTGAGCTGCAGATCCTGCAGAGCTGTTCTACAGGTTTCACAGACCGACAACATGAAAGGAGAACATGAGGATCTTTAAGTGGAATAATTTAGGTAGTCTATGATTATTCAAATCCACGACTCAAAGTGAATACAGGACTGGCTCGCTGGATGCAGCTAATGTGTCAACAGGTGATATTATTGGTCATTTCTGTTGCGTTTTTAGACTCAAAGGAACAACTGCTCTGGTCCATGTGTGTGTACATGCTCAGAAAACAAATCATGATGTTATTTTAGTAAACTTGCAACTCGTTAATTTTTCTGTTTCAGGGTCATCCCTCTGAAGTAATGAGAGTGAAGCCTCTGTGTAACTTATTATTTACAGTTTAAGTGAGACTCACCAGAAACCGCTGAAGAGGCGCTCCTTAAGGGGGGACGTCATGGACCAAGAAATGTCTGGAGAGGAGGATTTAACTTCTGCACGGTTGATTCTCAAGTTGCTGACTGGACTAAATTATGTGCGGCCATGTTGTCTCTCTCTGGCTCTCTCTCCTCCCTCGACCTGCTGCACACCTGAGTGCACTTTACACTCAGGGAGCAGGAGGAGGATTTAGAGGAACAGGTAGGGGGGCAGAGTGTGGTGAGGAGCTCCCAGAATCTGACTATTTAACTCCCCATGCATGTTTAGATCGCTGGGTTTTGTTGTTTTAGTTTTGTTCTGGAGATCTACGATAGTCCCGTTTTGGTCTCTTCTTTTCTCTTAGGTTGGCTACAACCTAGACGACTATGGGCCGGATTTGGCCCCCCAAAGTGAAGGGGGGGGGGGGGGGGGGGCTAGGCATATTATTTGTCCAAATAATCCTCAAGTGTGTACGTGTCAATATGATTATTTTCACTGCTCCCGATCAAGTCAGAGCCTCTCCGACCTGGAATCATAAACATCAAACATTTTGGATATTTAAGATTCTAGATCAGGCTGCCTCCGAAGGAACCTCAGCAACAGCCAATGAGAGCAAGCAGAACGGGGAACGTCACCAACCAGATGCTGCATATTTTGACAGTGATGTAGTACTCAAAATCAGTCTTAGTCTCCACCTTTTGAAGGACTCATCTCAGAATCAAAAGCATTTTTACCCGGTCTTGTCTCTTCCTTTATTTCTATTTTTACACATTTTAAGTCTTTGCAATAAAGCTTGAGGGCTGATTATTTAAACTCCTCTGTGGCGTCCCGTCTTCATACATTCAAGTCCTCGAGGTTTGAGCCTTCAGACTTCAAACAGGAAACTCTCAGAGTGGTTTACAGATTAACTGACTTCACGATCTGACGTTTTGACCTTCTGCTCTCCGCTGTGAGAATAAAGACACGGACCATGACCAGCTATCATCTTTTAATATTCTGCTGAGTTACAATCCTCCAAATGTACAACTCATGACATTTACAACAAACATTGAAGTTTATATTTGTATTTTTTTTTTTACGCAGTTACTATGGATACATCTCCACAGGCATGTGTCTTCAAAGAGCACAGATCTGATAAATAACCATTCATACCTTTAAAAAAGAAAGCGTGGGCCCAGAGCACAAACACGGCGAGTGTGTGTGTAAGTGTGTGTATGCGCGTGTGTGTTAACAGTGTGGATGCATGTGAGCAGAAATCCCTCTGATGAGAAGAACTGAGGAGTTTTGTCCTCTAGGGGGCGCTGTGCTGATGAATAAAGTGTCTGCGTTCAGTTACCTGTTCACCTTGATACACACCTACCACCTCCTCATTACATAATCACACTCATTACATAATCTACGCACACACACGCACACACACACAGGACTTGTGCATCACGTCAGAATCTCATGCTCCTTTCACTTTGATATTTTGTTCTTCCTCGCTCTTCACAGCCTCCTCCTGCATCCTCTCCCGTCCATCAGGAACATATTTTTTTTCAATAAAAATATTTGTTGTGATGGGGGTAAAACAAACAAAACTTTGATCTGTAAGAATCTGGGAATGCAAAAAGACGAAGAAGAGTCTTAACTGAGACGTTAAATCTACCTGACGACTCGTAAGGTGGAGAAAAGAAAACGAGACTTAGGCTGTGTCCAAACCTTTGATACCAAAGATGACGTCAAGTTGATTATGAATAGAGTTAAAATGTGGACACTTTCCATGTGAGCAAAGGGGCAAATGTGTTTGGATTTGTAGAGTTAAAAATCTGATAAAATCTCTCGATCTTAAACGTGGAGTCTGCAGCTTCCTCCTTCAAAATAAAACACAGACTTCTCCTAAAGTGAAGCTGCTCCATCGTCCCTTCTGGTGTTAGTGTGTGTTAGTGACTGTGTCTGCAGAGACTCTGTCCTCTGACTGGATTTTACTGTTCTGCTTCGTTCTGGTTGACTCGGGACATTTCTGGGCGGAGCTGGTGTGTTTCCTCCAGCCAATGACAGCGCAGTAGGTGAGTTTAGGAGTGGCTACAATTCAGTGATTGGACGCGATTCAAACAGCCGAATATGACGGACATGCAAAGAAGAGAAATAAGACGAGGGTGAACCTTGTGTTGACGTGGAGTTGGTCTGCTTCCTGTTGGACAGGCAGGGGACAAACACAGACGGTTAGCTTGTGCTAGCGTGCATTAGCTTGCAGTGTAGGAACAAGCAGTAAACGTACACACTACATCCTGCAGTGAGGGTGAGCTTCAGGGGGAGATGAGCCCAGGAGGAGGGGCCATGTTTGAATGTTGTTTACAAGCTGCATCGGAAAATGCTGCTGACTCCACCTTTCAAAAAAAAGTGCAAAACAAGAAGGAGTGTACTCGACCCCGAGCTGTGTGTGTGTGTGTGTGTGTGTGTGTGTGTGTGTGTGTGTGTGTGTGTGTGTGTGTGTGTGTGTGTGTGTGTGTGGAGGAGGTCGGGTTGTCTTCTGGAGAATGCGAGCGGCAGAGAGGCGGGATGAACACGGTCACACCTTCAACAGGACGATAACATGCACAGTTTCTAGTCAATTTACACTCGAGCTACATGGGACACGACTGGGCACATCATGACGGTTGCTTTTCTTAAAAATGAAAGAAAAATCACAACAGGAAGAAGTTTTTTTTTTTTGTTCTTTTGTGCACGTTTTTACACATGTGGATGTTTTTTTTGTTTTGTTTTTTTTCACTTTTCATAGGCGGATGGTATCACAGCTATGGTCGTAGAAGAGTGTCGTCTCTTATCTATTGCGTTCGGCTGTTTATGGCGCCTCGGCTCCCGTGGAGCTACTTGTAGCAGAGAGATGCATGCACAAGTAGAGGAGTGCACCAGGGTCGGACTGATGGATGTTATATTTCAAAGAAAAGAGGACAGGAGGTCGATGAGACGAATCACTTCAGAGAATTCAACGGGTGTTTAACCCTCTAGACCCCGCAGTGCCTGTTGCCGTTTTTAACCTTTCCCTGTGGATGAAAACATTTGAGATATTTTAAGTCGCTATCACTGTAAAGGACCATTTATGTTAGTGTGTGTATGATTTGTTTTCCTTCTTGTTTTACTCAAAAAGAACAGGAAAGGTTCAACCTGCATCACACTCCTTTCTCTGTTACCCCTAAACTCCCCCATCTCAGCTCGAGTCATCAAGATGGTGTTATTATCTGTAATATTCTGTTTTTGAGCTGCTTTAATGCTCCGTCCGATCCAAGTGTTCCCGGAGTCTAGAGGGTAAAGACCTGAAATGAAAAGCTGCCTCGCTCGGCGTCATGGATCTACAAACACAGCTTCATAAATCTCTTTTTTATGGCTTTCAGAGGAGAGTTTTGGCGTCCGACAGCTAGTCCACCTGAAACAAACACGGAAGTCTGGGCAAATCCTAAAAAAACACCGATAACATTTCAGGCACAAAATACTCCGACGCATCAGTCTGACCCTGGTGTGGATGTGGGCGGGGCAGAGGTTAAGGGGGCGGAAACATGACCGTATGTCTAGCTGGCAGTTAACGCGACATGGTACCTTGGCACATGACGATGGGGCACGGGGGGGGCAGTCATGAGGTGTGGTTGGGTGATCTTTAGGTGGTCAGGCAGGCGTTTGGGTGGATGGGTGTGTGTGTGTGTTTGGGGGGAGGGGTTTGACACAGTCATTTAGCTCTGGGCAGTTAACCGCTGCTCTGTGAGCGACGCCTGGTGGGATACCGTTTTGTTTTCGTGGGCACGAAGCTTTGACACCACGTCGATGAACGCCAGGCTCTGGACTTCTTTGTGGAGAGGCTCTGAAAGAGAGAAGACAGAGGGAAAGATGTTAATGCTCAAATTAAAGCTTTCTCTTTAAAGTCATGGTAAATAGACTTGAGCTTGTATATTTCTTTTCTCGTCTTCTGACTATTCAAAGCGCTTTTACACCGCAGGTCACACCTACACATTCACACATTGATGGTAGAGGCTGCTGTGGAACCCTCCCTTTTTTCAAATCTTATTTATATATCTTAATCTTCAAAGGCTTAATATGTGATTTTTCACACTTAAATGTAATAGAAATCAAGTATATCCTCTGAAAATAACTCTGAGTCATGACTGTCTACAATGGGTGTAACACCCGAGTCCCACTGTCTGTGATGTTTTCAGAGTCCTATGTTCACTTTGTTTATATCGCCAGGACGGCTGGCTGACTCCTCCCCTCGTGTATAAAAGCTGTTTAACTGAGGGACTAGAGAAAAGAAGAATAACATACTGTACTCACTGCTTAACTGTGTTTCTAGATCACGCTCATTTCAGGTAAATTTACATGCAGTGTGCAGATACGAGCATAATAAAGATCGCTAGCATTAGCATGCTAACACAACAATGGATCACAAAATCGCATATAAAGCCTTTTAAGGTCACAAATTCTGTAAAATCCACTTCTCCATGTTCCTCTAACACTAATATGTGTCTCTAGTCCGTCTACAAACCCCCCAATGATGAGATAAATCCATCCTCTCCGTCTTTTGTCGGCTCCACTTTTCAGAAAATGTGTGCTCAAACAGGCAGTTTGGAGATTTTCCCTTCATGACATCACAAAGGGCAGTAACCCCTCCCCCAGGTGGGTGAAACTCAGCTAGGTGTTTGTTCTGCCTTCTGACCGTAAACAATAGGACATGGAGCAAGAAAGCCTGAGACACCCAAGCCCTTCTAGAGAGGGGGCGTGGTCAGACACAGCTCATTTAGATATTTAAAGGTACAGACACAGAAACAGCCTGTTCTGAGCAGGGCTGAAATAGAGGGGTTTATAGACATGATCAAATACAGGACCAGAGTGGATTTAGAACAAGAAACTTTGTGGTACCTACCAGTCACTTTTATAATGATCATAATACGAGTGAGGTTAAATAAAGTCTCACCTGAGCCCATGACAGCACAGATGAGGATCATGGAGTTATATTTGATCTCTGGAGCGCTCCGCTCGTCTGACAGCAGTTTGTGAAGCACAGACACCAGACTGGCTCCAACAAAGTCCTTTTCTGCTGCAACTGAAACACAGGAAGAGACTCTCAATGAGGGTGTTCACACGGACTTGAGCACGGAGCTTATGATCCTCATCCTGGTTTTAATCATCTTCAGGATGTGGTGTTCACATGCACTCAGAAAAACCTGCTTCTTCATATCTATGTTTAATATGATAAACATTAGTATCTTGGTTTATGGTGTCTGCATATTATTCATGCAGGCGCTTGTGATGTTTGTGTTTTCCAACACAAATCGCAGCTACCGAACGTGTTGGGAGACCGGTGTCCTGTAGCCTTTTCATTCTTTCATTACCAAAAGATTAAACTCAGTTTCTTCATCACTCCAAAAGTAAGACGCTGTCATTGCCCCTGCTGAGGCCCAGTCTGTGCAGGTAGTCGGCAGCTGTCAGAAACCAGGGTAAAGCGTTTACATGCCACAGTATCCTGTTTTCTTTCAGAGTTGTCAAGGTAGCAAAATTGTGTTTTCTCCAAATCAGGATAAGGGTTTATCCCGGTTTCAGAAATCAGGATCTGAAGTAAAAACACAAAAACTGGAACTTTAAGAACCCAATCAAAACCGGGATACTGAAGTCCTTGACTCTACATGTCATTTGATGGATGTACGACATGTTTTAGTCTCTTTATTTAAAAAAGAGCAGATTTGTCATAGAGGTAAAATAATGAATGCAGGTAAAATCACATTCTGTTTATATTCTCATGATTCTCCAGAGGGGAATAAAATGTTCTTCAGTACTCCAGCAGGTCCACAGAGTATTACAGACAAAGTATGTGCGGCTGGGCTTCGATCTGCTTCAGGGAAAGAATCAGACTCCTCAACGTCCCCTCGCTGTGAAACTGGAAACCAACTTTAATAGAAATATCATTTTTAACTGATCCACAGTGTTGCTCTTACCCAGATCCAGCGCTGCTATGAGCCCCAGAGCCACCAGCGCTTCGTTCTGCATGATCATATGCTCACTGGTCGCCATGGTTACCAGGTGCTTGACGCCTCCTCCCTGGATGACCGTTCTGACCACTTCCTGTGATCCACAAATAAAACATGGATGCATTAAAACCAAAATGAAAGATCCGGAAAAAAATAAAATAACAGTGTTTGAATCTGTGTTACACCAACGACGACTTTTAAAAAAAAACTGTACGAGGACTCGGCATCTGACCTTGGACTTGCTGTGTCGGATCAGGGCTGACAGGAGTCTGTTGGACTCGCCCATCACTCCTGCGTGATCTTTGGCTTCACACCACTCCACTAACCGCTCCACCAGTTTCCCATTGGTTCCCAGCTGGTCTGCAGCTTCAGCTAAACACACACACACCTTTATTAATATATTTAACACATCTGCATTAGAGTCATCAATCCATCCATTATCTATAACACTTTTTAAAGCATGGTGCTGGAGCCGATCCCAGCTGTCCCATTGGGCTGAGAGGCGGGGTTAAAGTCAGGACTGTTCACCAGCCAATCACAGGGGCTGACATATAGAAACAGACAACCAGCCACACTCACATTCACACCTACGGACAATTTAGAGTCAGCAGTTAACATAACCAGCATGTTTTTGGACTGTGGGAGGAAGACGGAGTACCCGGAGAGAACCCACACATGAGCAGGGAGAACATGCAAACTCCACAGAGAGGCTCCTGACAGACGGGGATTCAAACCAGGAACCTCCTCACTGTGAGGGGACAGCACTAACCACTGCAGCACCGTGCAGCCTTGCATTAGAGTCAGTTCAGTACTTTAGTTTTAGAAAGCTTGGAGGTTTGTTCAGATGAAAAACAAACACTGATTTTCTTTGCAGCTTTTTTATCGCTCTCTGATTATGAGTGACGTTTGGTGCCTGAAACCATCTGCTCAGTGTCAGGACGAGAGCATCAGTCACCGTGTTTCTGTGTTTTTTTTATGACTCACAAAAATTTCTAGATTATGAAACCAAAACTTGATTCTTTTTTTTGCAAACTGCTCCACAGTGTGAGATGTCTGATTTATTCACCGTGTTGATTTCTGAGGGATCGGTGTAAAGACAGCCGCGCTTCACGAGTCTGTACCTTGTGTATCGATGAGCATGCGTAACGTCCCGAGCAGTTTGAACTGCACCGGCGGCATCTCGGACTGTAAGAACTTCAACACCACGTCTGCTACTCCAGCTGAGAGCATCTTTGATTTGTTCACCACTGCAGAGAAGAACACACAGAAACACACATTTATAAACACTGACAACAAAGCAGATGATCAGATGTGTCTTTGAGGGTTTCTTTTTGTCTTTTAATGATATTGTTTTTGTCTTTTTTGTGAAGGAAATATTTCAACTAGAAAACAGATATGTTACTGTTTGAAGTGTGTGTATGTGAGCTACCAGGTTTAGCTTGAAGCTAGTATTGTATTTTTAGTATATTTATTTATTTGCACGGTAAGGGAAATAAAAATATTAAACAAATAACAAAATAGACAACATTCAGTGCAGGAAGATGGAACTCAATGAAATCACCAAAATAAAAAAAAACAACTAAACAATACAGAATTAAGATGCAGAAAAGAATATGTACACATATGTAGAAAAAAATGTATTAACTGCATACAGTAACAATAAAAAAACAAAAGAAGAAAATGTGTGTAAATGTGTGTGTGTGTGTGTGTGTGTGTGTGTGTGTGTGTATGCAACATCTGTTTAAAACACACCTGTAGTGACAGCAAAACAAAAATACAGCTTATAAAAATTTACAAGTAATTCTGATAAACCATAAATACATTTCCTTCATAATCTCTCTGCAGGTCATAGTCACTCTTCAGACATATTCACACAGGATGAGTTTAACTGAGGACCCCACTCTCTTCGTTCCTTGCTGCTGCTTTTGGTAAAAAATACACTTTAACAGGGCGCCGGCAGCGTAGTGCTTAGTGTGCACGGCCCATGTAAGGTGGCCAGTCTGGGATTGAATCCAGCCTGTGGCTCCCTTTCCTGCATGTCATCTCCCCCCCTTCCCCCTCTCTCTCCCTGATTTCTTGGGGGGCTTTTGGTGCCTTTATTTTAGAGACGGGACAGGGGCGAGAGAGAGAGAGAGAGAGAGCGAGAGACGGACAGAGAACGAGGTTTCTCTGGAGTGGAGTTAAGTAGGACGTTGTCCTGGAGACTGACAATGTATGAGCACTCGGTGTGCCTGCAACGGTGATAACAAGGTTTGTTGGAGGGCTACAGCCTCCGTTTATGGGACGCCTGCGCACTAACCACTACTCAACCAGCGCCCCATGACTCCATGAGAATTAAAGGGTTTTAATAATATCACTCATTAAAGCAACGGAGAGTGGATCATTTTTAAGCAAAATGGTTTAAAAAAAGTATCCAAGAATCCAACATTTTGACAACCTTAGAATGAACTTTGACCTTCTTGTTGGCCAAAGAAGAGGTCAAACACAGTTATAAGAAAAACCCTTCACCTAAAACTCACAATGCTTCGATCACGGTGTGTGTGTGTGTGTGTGTGTCGTACTGATGCAGCGGCTCACCTGGTATGGCGAGGTTCCTCAGGGCGCTCAGAGCTGCGTGTTGAACCGTGACGTTCCCTTCTTCAACGTGTCGATCCAACAGATCCAGAAGCTTCTGGACGATGCCAGTGTCCACCATGTGGATACAGTTTCCATCTGCACACACGATATAAAAGAGAAGAAGATGACATCAAGTTTTCATCTATTTTCTGTCAACAGCAACGAAGGTGTTACACTTTCATTTAACCAAAAACACTGTGAACGCTAAACTGTGGTCGTCCACGTTCTGTTTCTCATGACACATTATTTCCTCTTTGAATCTATTCTTTCTACTCCCCTTACAGTAACGAGACATGCTTCCATCTGACAATATGAAGTGAAAACGTACCGTTTCGAGCAAAGTTAGCGATGGCAAGGGCCCCGGCGAGCTGCAGCTGATGGTTGTGCGACGGGATCCAGGACAGAACCCTCTGGAAGACGCTGCCTTTTCCTCCCTCGAACAGCTTCTGCATGGACTCGTCTACACAGCAGGAGGAACAGGACGGGTTACTCTCATCTGCACATTCATGATTCTGTTTCAGAGTTTTATGAGTGTGCAAAGTGTGTTTGGGGGATTATTTCTGCCCCTTGTTACGCCTCACAGGCTTCAATAACGCTGCTCTGTCCTCTTGTGGGAGTTTATTGGGGCCCCGAGTAGAAAACTGCAGCAGTTATTCAGGGCTGGAATAAAAACTCTGTTACAGTATTTTTGATAATTAATCATTTAAAGCAGAGTGCTCTTTGTGGAATTATTCTTAAGATGCACGACTGCTTCCCCTACCCGGTCTGCGTTCACATCAGTAACATCGCTCCGTGCCCGAGTACACTTGCATACATACGTACACAGTCCGATACAGCAGTTGGCAGTAAGCACATAGATGGTTTGTAAATCCACTTAGGAAGCAGAAGGAAGAACATGCAACCATGGCAACAACGACCCTCTTTCTACATCCACATCTACCGAGCAGCTCAGACGATGAAACGGGCCCTTCCTGCCATTTAGAAGTATGTCATATAGCGCTCCACTTCCTTGCTTCCGCTCATCAGGGTCCAACTGATTCATCGTTCCTTCCCATCCTCCTTAAAGAGCGTGTTTGCTGTTCTGCGTGATTGAGGATCCACCCAGCGCTCCTAACCACTGATCTTTATTATATCTGTAAGGGTAGAATTTGTTGAACAGATGTTGTGTTCGACCGTATTTAGATTGTGCACCTCATACACCCAACGCCTCACGTGACGGCTCAGGCTTTAATCAGGCTCACACCGTGTAGTCCGAGCTGCAGAGCGTCTATTATATATAATATTAACACACCGTATCCAAGTTCATCCTGCTGCGTTAAAATATTTAGATTAAATGTTGAATTATTGATACTCAGCTTCAGCGCTGGACAGGAGACATTTATATTTATGGATTCTTATATTTTCTACATAAATTAAGTTAAGTCAGGGGATCGTTTTCCGGCTGATGACCTCGTACATTTGGCTGCAGGATCTGTGATGCAACAAGAATCTGACTGTGAAGACGTTATTAATCTTTAATAACCGTTACACAAGGTTCTTTTTGAATTAAGGTTCAGTAGATTCATTCTGTGTGTTCTGTTGTTTTTACCTGCTAACATTAAACCCCTGTAAAGCTAAAATAACTTCTGTTGTTTAATGAATCATTAGGAGTTCACATCTGCTGCGTTTACCTCCCAGCAGCAGCAGAACCATGAGGTCTGAGGCGGTCTTGAGCTGGGCGATGTCCTCCTCCCGCTCCCCATCCACAGTCTGAGCCACCACCTGCAGGAGACACTCCACCAGGCCGGCCTCCACCAGCTGCAGCTTGATCGCATCTAGCAGGAGACAAGAGGAGGAGACTTTCAGAGGAAACCACAGAGCAACGTACGGCTGCTGCTGCAATGCAGTGAAGCGCTGCATCATATGAAATGCATCCCATGGGACATGACATGCCGCTGCATACCAACAGGGCTGCAGAGCATGTGAAGCGAGATATGTTGGTAAAGCGCTTTTTCAGTGAGTTTAATACACCAGGGTTTACTCCACATCTAGTCAAAGTTTCCACCAACATAAGGCAGGTTTCCCTTCTCTACTTTTATGCAAATATTAGGAGATAAGTGCAGGTGTCATTTTACTGTTGCAGTTATAGTTCTGCCTTTTCATGTGGATATAAATGTGTAAATGTGAGGAAGATTTCAGCCTCCTGACCACTGCTGACTGATTTAAAGGAGCAATATGTAACTCTGACACCTTGTGTTTAAAACGGGTACTGCAGTCCGAATTCTAAACATTGTAGAGAGCTGTCTCCCCCCGCCCCCTCCTCTCTAGAGTCGATGCTCTCACAGGTCATGTGGTGAACACTGAAGCTTCAGTGTTTATCCAGCTCTGCATCAGTCTGTAAACCTTTCTGTGTTCTAACCTCTCTCCATTTTTCAAAAGCATCTCCAATATTGATCCTAGTTTGAGCACGTTTCTGCTCGTGGAGCTTATTAGAAACATGCAGAGGCTTTTTAGGTCGGGTACAATCACTTCTATCTGAACCACTTCTCTTGCCCGCTTCCATCACTGCAACACCTGTTGACCTGATAACTGCTCTCATATCTGACAAACCGAGGGGCGTCCAAAACGGCCGTGTAGGGGTGCCTTAAAACCGCCTACCTTCTCTGGTCCAAACAAATACAAACCAACCACTAGGCCACTGGCGTCCCTAAAAAAATCATCATGAGTCTGACACTTTTACAGAATAATAATTTGTGTGTCTCTAAATCTGATGAAGAACATGAAGAGCGTCAAATGAGAGAGATGGAGAGGTGGACCGAGAACGAGGTTTCTCTGGAGTGGAGTTAAGTAGGACGTTGTCCTGGAGACTGAGCACTCGGAGTGCCTGGAACGGTGATAACAACAGACAGAGAGAGAAACACACACACACACACACACACACACACACACACACACACACACACACACACACACACACACACACACACACACACACACACACACACACACACACACACACACACACACACACACACACACACACACACACACACACACACACACACACACACACACACACACACACACACACACACACACACACACACACACACACACACACACACACACACACACACACACACACACACACACAGAGACATTCTCTGAGCTTTAAAGAGAGCAGCTGAGCAAATGCAGGATCTGTCTGCCATGACTGTGCAGTTAGCATCGTGTGTGACTCACACTCGGAGGATAAATTACTATCGAGTAGGTGGACACGGCTTTCATTTAAATGCACGAGAGAACACTGCAGTCTCTCACTGCTCTGTGTTTTAATCTCCACACTTCTTCTCTTACAGGAAATTTGGCTTTTTGTTGAATGATGAAAGAAAAAAAATCACATTACCGTTTTCTGCAAGCGGAGCCAGAACCTCAAAAATCATCTCCTTCTTCTCGTGTTCCGTCTGCTTCTGGAAAAGACGCACCAGCTCCTCGGCGATGTTTGTGGAGGCAAACTGCTCTTTGCTGGACTCTGAAAACGACAAAGACAAATCACAGACAAGTTATCAAAGAGAAGACAGTAGCCTCTCTTCTACCAGGACTCTCTTTGTGCATTTCATTCTTACAATTTCAGCACAACAAAAAGACGGTAATTAACAGTAATAATCAAAAAACATTAAGTCTTAAATAAAGCACTTTTCTGAGGGGCAGGATGTTTGAGCATGCAGGTCAGAGGAGCTCATACAGGTAGGCGGGGGAGAAGGTTACGGATGGCTTTGTAGGTGATAAGGAGTTTGAAATAGGTACTCTGGGGGATGGGGAGCCAGTGGAGGTTATGAAGGACGGGTGTGATGTGGTCATTGGGTGTGTTAGAAAGTGAGCAGCGGAGTTCTGGAGTGTTTTGGATGGCGAACCGTAGAGGAGACTGTTGCAGTAGTCCAGTCTGGATGTGATGCATGCGTGGGTGAGGGTCTCAGCATGCTGAAAAAAAAGGGAGGGAGGGAGGGAGGCGGACGATGTTTCTGAGATGGAAAAAAGGCTGTTTTGGTGATGTGTTTGATGTGTCTGTCGAAAGAGAGGGTTTGACCGAAGATGGCACCAAGAACACGGACGGACCAACGATGACGACTACTGATTTGTCATAGCTAAGTGTAAGAAAGATGGTTTGATGGCTCAAACCCCTGCGACCCCGAACACTAAAAAGCGGTATAGATGACGGATGGATGGATGGACAGAGGACGATATATTAAGTTTAACAGCTCTAGATGAGGCGTTAATTAAAGGTTAGCAGTGTGTTAGCATCGTTAAACGGGTATTTCTGTAAACTCACCGAGCTCCGCCAGATTCCCAAAGGCAATCAGACACATTTCTGTCAGGGCTGTGTTGTGGGAATGGATGCCGAGCAGCTTCACCAGAGTGGGAATCACCCCCATGTTGATCAGCTGGGCTTGTAAGGAATCTGCAGAAACACAAACAAAGACAGGGAAAGATAAGCAGACGATCATGTGCTCCAAACATAAAGTAGAAGTGAAGAAAACACAAAAGGCAACGGTGTGGATTTTGTTCAGAGTTCATTAGTTGTCATGGTATCGATGTCGTTTGTTTTGTAATAGAATCTTAAACTTTAAAACAGAATTTTGGCTTTTAGACCCAAGTAAAACATGCAAGTTATTTAACGAGCTGAACAAGACTACAGACGGTCAGTTTGATAACCCATTAGATGAGCTAGAGTGCAGACAGTTGACAAGGAGACAAAGGAGGTTGAAAAGAAGCGGTAGATATGATAGCTTCATCCAGTTTACACATGAAAGATTGCACGCAGTTCCAGATTTTTGGTGTAAAAGTCATATATAGATTAACTTCAGTGATGTTTCAGTTTATTAAGGCTGATCATTGACATTTTTTTGCATCAATCCTCTTAACTTAGAAATAATTGAAATGCATATTTTTGCCCCGACAAAGAGGTGTATTAAGATATGCACGTTGGTTGTGCTGCACAGTCTGAGACAGTGTTGTAGCGATGGAAGCGGGCAAGAGAAGTGGTTCAGATAGAAGTGATTGTACCCGACCTAAAAAGCCTCTGTATGTTTCTAATAAGCTCCACGAGCAGAAACGTGCTCAAACTAGGATCAATGTTGGAGATGCTTTTGAAAAATGGAGAGAGGTTAGAACACAGAAAGGTTTACAGACGATGCAGAGCTGGATAAACACTGAAGCTTCAGTGTTCACCACATGGTGACCTGTGTGAGCAATGACTCTAGAGAGGAGGGGGCGGGGCACAGCTCTCTACAATGTTTGTTCAGAGTACGGACTGCAGTACTCGTTTTAAACACTAGGTGTCAGAGTTACATATTGCTACTTGAAAGTAATTGTGAAACAAACTATTGAACTGAAAGACTTTTACAATATGTTCAGCATGTACATTTATCATGTGATTTTGATTTGTGACCATCAGCTGCTGTTATCCAGAAGTTTTACTTGCCAGTAATTCTGCATTCACACAACTTACTAACCAAACTACTAAATGGTTAATCACAAATTCTGACTACTTGGCAGAGCATTGAGCACACACAGTCAGATTTTACCAAAAACAATTAGGTAGATCATTCACTACGACATTAAAACCCTGCATTGTGAACTATCATTTAATAAAAACAAGACACAAGTTGTAAATTTCTCGATGACGTAAAGCTGAGTCATCATTTAAGACTCCAAAACCTTAAAAAGAAATGTAACTGTCCGTTAGAGGGTAACAAGTGGATGAAATATTAGACACACCTGAGGAGCAAAACATCAAGATACATTTTAATTTTAGAATCCGGAGTGGATGAAAAGATGATGGATGAAATCAACAGAAGAGAAAAGAACAACGTCTTAAAGATTTTAGATTCTTGTTGAGTGTCGAGACAAGCAAACCCCAATAAAGCCGTAGAAAAGAGAGCAGGAAAGCCAACAGAACAGATACATGTGTTTTTGGAAGATCAACAAAGCCTCCGCAGACGTTTACAAGGTGTGTGACACAATGAGATTAAATGAAAAACCGGATATAAGGCTTTACCCACACAAAAGGGACCAAGGTTGTTTTTCTCGAAGTGCTAATAAAGCCAAAACTTCTTTAAACATTAAAAGGCCACTGCATCATTTTACAGTTTTCATTTGATCTAAATGCATCGACCTAGCAGCCACATTTTGTCACAAGGTCACATATTCTCCTCCTCTTCAACCAGTGTATTTTTTTCCCATATTTTGGGGTCTAAATGGGAACAATAAGTGTTGGACTCACTCTAGTAGATGATTTCTCCGGCAGCTGAAAAGCCGCAAACTTGCCTTTTTGAATTAATAAATCCAATCAATATGTCAACTACATGTGCCTTTTTTTGTCTGACAACATTACAGAGAGAATCCCTACAGAAATATAACGTTTTGATAAGCTACAAACGTATTCATTAAGGCAGAAACAGCTGTTACATCGTTCCCATCAGTGCCACCAAACTCCATTGACAAAATTGGTAATTTTACCTCCCAGAAGAAGGGAGTTGCTGTGCTAGGGCTGCCACCATTGGTTCATTTCAGTAATTCAGATGTTTAAAATGGGTGTCAAGGATCCTAAACAATATTTATAAATCACAAAACACTGATTGAGGCAGTGGTGGATAAACACATGCAATGCACGCTGCTAAGGTAAAATAAGTGTTTTTGTCAAGGAGTCTGGTGGCTGCAAAGGGAGTGATGAAGTGTTTTTATTTTTGTTTCAAGATTCAAGGGTTCACTATGAATCTGAAATTTGTTACCCAGAATTTCTAAAAGCTATCTCATGGTATGTTACTTCAACCCATTAATGAGATTGTATAATCCTTCAAATACAATGACTAATGGACAGATCAGGACCTGTTCTAATACCACACTTGTATCTGTCATATCTTGCGTCTTTTCCTAAGGGGAAACCTTTTAACTGCAGCAGCTGATTCAGAGTGAATAAATGGGGAGTTGTCTCAACATTAACTATATATGAAGCGTCAGCGAGATGCAGAAAGCTGCTGAAAGCTGCAGAAAAGCCACAAAAATTCATCCACTCTGTGAGAGCCACCAAAAGCCCTCTCATCAATCAGCCAAACACATCAGAGACTTGGTCGAGGGCCAAAAGACACCTTGGCAGGAGGTCTGAGTGTGTCAGATCACACACTGTCTGTTCTCAACAAGCTCGGCTATCACAAAGACACAGAGTGCAGCAGCAAAGACCGGAAAACGAGATGCAAGCAGGGACGCAGTGGAGGGAAAAATCACCTGGTTTAGCATCCCAAACAGAGCAGATAAATGATGAAGATTAGATTAGATTTAGTTAAACCTTGCACACTTTAGAAAAATGCAATAATTTCATTGCACCCAATACATTAAATACAAATGAATTATGTCAATTAGAAACTGCTGGGGGCGCTACAGGAAATTCAGAGGGTGACCAAAGTTTATTAGACGCATCTTAAAGGGCAAACAAATGGATTTACCAAATTTCAAGGCAATCCATCCAATTACTGTTAAGATATTTTAGTCTTGACCCTGCACACTTTAATTTTGTTGCTGCCAAATCATTGAAGACCCAAAAATGGTGTTCATTTTATACTGTTGGTGGCACTACATGGAAATGCAGAGGATCACTACCATCTTGAAGGGACAATGAACAGATGTACCAAATTTAAAGGCAATCTATACAATCATTGGTTCGATATTTAAATCTAAAACATAAAAAGAGAGCGACATCATCATCCTACCATACAGACATCGGACAACTAGCTGATTCTGATCTACCTGATGAGACTGTAAATAATTCAAAACTTATAGGAGTTTGGTAGAGCAGTGATTCCCACAAAATGACGCGATACCTGGGCGGTGGAGATCGCGGTTTAGGGGGGAGTTTGTATTTTAATCAAATGTGTTTATTTCCTCTTAATTAATTTAGTTTTTGCAACAACTTTTATCTGCTCATCTTATCCATGCACGCGCACAGACACAAACACCAGGAGTACGCCTCGCTTTTTGAAAAGTTCTGTTATTTATATTAGTTCAGCATCAGCAGCAAGCAGCTGAACATTAACATTATTAAAACAAAGCCATGAGAAGCTTCAGTTTTGATCGGAGCAAGACACCTCCATCTGTGCTTTTACGAGAGGGATGTGCAGACAGAACCTTCTCTTTCTCTCTGACGCTGATGTGATTCTGCTCTTTAGGTTTTGCTGCGTCTTATCTCCCCGCAGGAGTCGAGAGGGGATTTTTTTTTTCCAAAAGTTTGAAAAGCGCTGTGTGCAGCAATTTTATAAATAAATAATAAATAAATAAAACACGCTTGAAATATACTTGGGCGGCCCGCCCAGGTATCGTCTATGTGTGGGAAACACTGTAGAGGAAGTAGAAAGGTACTCCTAATATAAGACCAGACTCTCAGGAAATATATTTAACTGCAGATTACCTCAGAGGTGAAGATGGAAAAGCAACAGAGAGCATGATAGAAACAGCAGGAGAAAATTCAGATGAAGAAGGTAAAATCACAGAATCTTCAAGTTCAACCAAACTATGTGATTAAAAAAACAATCATGGTCTGTGTATAAGAAAGAGAACATCCGCTGATTAGTGGAGATTAGTCAACAGTTGTTCTTGGGGGGGAAAGATGGTCATTACCATTATCATTGCTATAGTTCATCAGCATGCCACAAAAGACAGTCAAGAGCTTCTCATTTTCCGGCTCAGTATTTTGGTAGAGCGATTTAATGTGATCAGCTACTATCTGAGCGCCTCCTGCCAGGTCAACTGCACTCCTGCCCTCATCTGCAAAACAAAGAGGCCAGGACACAAATCAACCACAAAGCAAAGGATAAAAAGTAAATAAATTAAAGTCAAACACAACCTGAAAAATACATGGGAAAGGAATATTACGTAAGCAGTACAAAAACATACAAATTAATGCAAACTAAGGTTGAAAATACATCCAAATACTGAATAAAACATTACAATTAACAAAATAATTATGGCCTCAAATATTCATTCATGGAAAACATGTTCACATGAGGCTCATTTTATAACTTTTTAAATATTTATATCCATGTAGTACAGCTTGGTTTAATAAACTTCAACATTAAATTGTTGGCCATAATGTTTTAACTTCTGTTGAATAATTTTGTGTGCTAACAGAATAAAGCTAAAGCTCTCCCTGCACAATTTAGGAAAATAAAATCACATTAACATGAACTGATGGTGGCGCTACAGCAAAAAGACAAATTCAGATCATCACCAAGATTGATGAAAAGCAACTTAAAGGGAAATAGTATGGATGTACCAAATTTGAAGGCAATGTGTTTTATCACTGAAGATATTTTGGGCTTAACCTTGCCCACTTTAGAAAGTTGTGTAAATAAGGTGTAAAGATTCAACAGAAAACTCAAAGTACTTGGTCTTTTCAGATTCTCTGATTTTTTTTAAAGGCAATTTAAAGGCAATTTAAAAATCTTGTTAGTTCACCCTTCGGTGACGTCTTTAAATGTTGGCTCATCTTTCTGTCATTTCTTCTCTTTGACTTGAATTGACGCAGCGTAGAGTTACAAAGTTCTAGCCTGCAGCCAAATCATTCAAACCCAAAAAACGACATAAGTTTGAAACTGGTGGTGGCGCTACAGGAATTTTCAGAGGGTCACCAAAGTTTATCCAAGGCATCTTAAAAGGGAAAATGAATGGACGTACCAAATTTCAAGGCAATCTATCCAAATATTGTAAAGATATTTTAGTCTGAACCTTGGACACTTCAGAAAAATGCAATAATTTCATTGCACCCAAAACATTAAATACAAAAGGATTACGTTAACTCCAAACTGTTGGTGGCACTATAGGAAATTCAGAGGATCACCAAAGTTGATCAGAAGCATCATTACAAGGAAATGAATGGATGTGCCAAATTTCATGGCAATTTCTCTACTCATTGTGAAGATACTTGGGGCTTAACCCTGCACACTTGTGAAATATATAATATTTTTGTTGCAGCCCGATCACAAAAATTACATTCATTTCAAACTGTTGGTGGCGCTACAGGGAAATTCAGAGCGTCACCAAAGTTGATCAAAAGCATCTTAACGAGGAAATTAATGGATGTGCCAAATTACACAACAATCCATTAAAGGCAAGGTGCGAAAACTAGCATGATTTTGAAAGTAGCATTCCCCAAGTGCACCGTCCACACCCACCCCCTCCCCTCTGTGCTCCCTCTAAAGCCACGCCCCCTCACTTACATGCACGAGCGCCGTTGCTCCAGAAGTGGACCTCAGCTCATCTCTTGCATTGCGTAGAAACTACGTTGTTTCATGTCTCATTCAGCGGCAAGTAAACTCACAGTATAGGTAGAGAACGAGCAGGGAGGCCTCTGATTGGGTCATCAGATTGGTACCTCATGGCAGACATTGGTCAAAGTTTTTAGAGGCTTACAACTGATACAGATGACAGATTTTCTTTGTTCCCTTTTCAGAGAACATGAGTTATTAATTTCTGTCAGGAACTAAAGACAATTTCAACCAAAATTTATTAAGTGGATCTGGAGGAACCTGCCTTTCAATTATTGTTGAGATATTTTGGTTTAATTTCTGCACGCTTCAGAAAAATACAAGAATTTTGTTGCAGCCAAAACGAAATACCGTCAATGGCATCAAAAGAAAGGGGCTAGTATCTTTAAAATGTTGAAGTAAGTTACAGATTATTGAGTTTGGATATGTTTAGTAAAATCAAGTCTTTGTTTTCAGGGTCTGTTTCCGGATCAAACCCCCTTTAATGACCAGTACACTTTACCTTGGAGAGACAATAAATTCACAGTACTGCTGACTGTCTCTCTGGGAGGCTTTGTCTGGTAGAACAGCTGCCAAAGGAAGCGTTACATGAGTCAGCCCGTTATGTACCAGTGCGTCTGCTACTTTCATTCACTCTCGGCTGCCTCAGCAACACAGCAACGCCATGTGGATGACATTTTCTGTTTCTCTTCTGTTAATGCTATAGCAATCAAGTTTTTGTTTTTTATAGCACTTAACCGACATTACAAAGGGCTTTACGACACAAAAAACAAACAATAACATAAATACAATGTAGGAATAAAACAGGTTAACATACAGATTAAATGATGGTTGATAAAAATCGTCTCGATAGAGTGAAATAATCAAACTCCTTGATCTCTCAGCGTTTAAGAGGATTAGAGGTTTCTTACTCCTTAAAGATGAAATGTCAGTGTACACTCTAGAGAAAAGCAGTAAATTAAACCTTATTTCATCATGTCGGTCTGAATAGGTTTCCTTTTATCCTCCTGAAGAAACTGCCGCAGCTTCTTCTTCACTACATCGTGTTTCTTTAAGATGGCGAGCAGCTGCTTCTCCACACTCTCCCCCGTGCGTCTTTCATAAATCCACGCCAGCTCACGGAGACCTCCCTCCACTCAAACAAATGTCACTTCCCAGCAGATTCCAAAGATGTCCGGCTTTTCAACCCGAGGAGAAACCATGCACCAGAACTGACAGCTGTGATTAAAGCCTCTAAAGCTGGCCGCAGAATCAGGCTTTAACTCTAATTCTCCCCCCCCAGGTCAATTTCCAAAGTCTCAACGGGTTCTCTTTCAACCGATAAGTTTAAACATCACTTTAAGATACAACATGAAGAATTTTTACACTGAAATATCTGAACCAATAAAGTAGTAGCGCCAGTAGTGTGCTGGTTGGTGCTTGCGCCCCATGTACAGAGACTCTTATCCTCCAAGCGGGCAAACCGGGTTCAAGTCCGACCTGTGACGCATTTCCGGCATGTACCTCCCCACTTTCCTATCTCTAAAAAAGCCCCCAAAACAATGTCAAAAATGTTGTATGTTATATTTTTTTGTTGAGTACCTCAAATATTTCCAACAGTTATCAAAACCAGAGAAATACATAATTTTAGAGATGTAACAGCGAACTCTTGTCTCACCAGCCGCCGTGACAGATACGACATGTTTATCGTCATTATTTGTGTTTAATAATGCAGCTGAAAAATTGTGCAGAACTGGACTGAAAAATGCAACTTTTTGGCTTTTAGGGAGCAGTCGTACTCAGCTTGAATAAATCTCTTATGTCTTGTATTTAACTGCTGGTTGTGTGTTTGTGGTATTGATTCTCGTTAATATGTGTCATCACTGTGTTTGTTTTCCTGCAGACTCCAAAATACAGCCGCTAATGAGGGTCAAATAAACACATTGATCTCAGAGTGTCATTTCCCTAACCACTGCATTTCCCTCTCTGTGTCTGCAGTATTTCCCAGCATGCACTGCTACAACCCTGTGAAAGGTTTCTGTCTGTGAAACACTTTATTGAAGATCAAAGCTCGGTGTGCTGCAACAACAATTTTACGACTGATTTTCCATTAGCTCTGTTGATGGTGTTGACGGGGCTCATGAGGGATTCAATGTTCCCTCAGAAAAAGCAAACTCCTACTTACGGCTGTCGTAACAGATGTTGCCAAGAGCTCTGCCGGTCTGCAGGAGAACCTCCTGGTCGCTGGAGTTTAACAGCTGAATGAGAGGAGGGATGAGACCGGCTTCCACACAGGGACTCCGAATTAACTCTGAGGGAGGGAGAGGAGTAACAAAACAGGTCAGTGTGAAAACTTGAAAAGTGAAACTTGTTCTAGGAAGTAAATACCACCAATCTGCTCTCTACTCAGGTAACTGGAGGAGTCTACACGACCAGGATATCCAAAAGAGATGAAATAAAGGAAAAGGAAAAATTTACGCTGATCCAAAACCAACATGGTCTATCAGCACATTCTTCCTCACCATCCTCCCCCATCCCCACCAAGCAGTCCGGATTGGTCCAGTACAGTTTGGTAGGGTAAATCCTGATCTTGCTAATGTTTCCACTTGGTAAGCGGAACATACGCCGGATGGGGATAGCCGTGTCAGCTACGTAATAGTGTGACATCATCACAGCAGAGCAACAACATGTAGCCCGCCAACAAATTCAATGAAGAAGAACGTGACACGGCAAACAAAGAGCAACAATTGAGGACGTCCAGCACAGGTCTGCACCTTTGAGGTCAAACATTTTTTTGTAGAAACATAAAAACCGAATGTATTCGTCGGTTTGGTATGTTATCGTGTACACCAAGGTCTCTGAGTGCAACTGACCTGTAGTAAAACACACTCATATGTTGACATAACCAGCTCCTCTGAGGAAAGAATAAATTATCGAGATATCACGACAGGAGACTTTCCATGTTGGAGCTGAGAGGAGGAGGAGAAGGGTGTCTTCCTAAGGCAAGGAACAAGTACAAGGAACAACTTTGACTTTCTGTGGAAGAAATACCAGGAGGCTTGCAGGAGTCAGAATAAAATAAATGTGGCTGTTTGCTTTCACACATTCAGCTTAACGCTAAAACTTCAGGAGTTTTGAGCATGTGTGAAAGTGCTATATGTCTTTTTTTTAGTGCCTCAATTGCATTAAAAAAAAAACAAGGTTTACAGCTTTGGGGGGGCGCGGGCAGACGGACGCCAACTCAAACACTTGAAGGAATCTTGGTGGTCATGTGTTACTTTTAAGGACAGCTGTCCTTTTCTATCGGAAAGGTATCCTTAAATGACTTCTTTCCCTGATTTCCGACTCTATCCACTATCCTATCCCTACAATAAAGACACAAAAAGCCCAAAAATAAATCGGGCTGCCCCCCCTCATGTAATGGTAGGGGAAACACTGCTATAGAACATCATATTCATCCAATCCACACAACTGGATGAATTTTTCCCCACTTGTTAACAGGGACGTAGCCAACAGGATCATTTGCCGTCTGTAGCATCCTAATAACAACCATCGAGCTAAACTAGGATGCTTTATCACAAAGCCCCGAAAGGAGTGAGAGAAAACAGAAAGTGTTCATTTATTACGTCTAACACCAAGTATACAGCTCTAACTTAAAGAGACATATTCTCCCCCTTCTCCACCTTTTCAAACAGTCCCCTGTGGTCTAAATGAAACATCTGTGCTGTTCTTTGGTCAAAATATAACATGAATCAATCACCAGAGGAGGTTTGTGACCCTGTTAACCAGCTCTCTCAGAACGCTCCATTTTGGTGTGTGTGTCTCTTTAAATGAAATGACCCCCACCTTGCGAGAATAAAAATGGCCGACCTGTGAAAAAGTTTTGTTCTAGGCTGGGGGGTGGAGTCCATGGGTGGAGATACCAGGGGAGGGGAGGGGATTTTTTTTTTTTTTACCAGAATCCCACTGTGACATCACAAGGAGAGAAAATTAGAAATGGAGCATTTTTCTCTGTGTTGTAAGACTTATGCAGACCACAAACAAAGGACTGGATGGGTTTATTTCACATTATGTGGGTCAGTAGACACTCAGGTTAACCAAATATATGTTCAAAAACACTGTAGAAGTGGATTTTTCATAATATGTCCCCTTTAAGACCAGAGACGCCATGTAATGAACATGGAAAAGTTCACATTTTAACCACATTGTTATTTGGGCAGCCATGTTGGATCCTCTGCATTTGAGATTGTCTTTAACAACGGTGATTAATGCTAATCAGACAAAGAGGTTTGAACATAAAATCTCAGCTGGTGCCGCTTTACACAATCGAGTCGGTTCAAACTGTCAGACAGAAAGGCGGTCGTCTTTAGCCCAGCAGTCACTTGGCTGCTCGCAGACTTTTCCGGAAGCGGTGACAGATAAATGCCAGCGGGTTGCTGCCAAGCTTGGCAAACTGCTGGGGAGTGATCATTAGCTGCAGACTTGCAAGCTGCTAAAAAAAAACATTCATTATCCCGAACCTTTTCTTCCCCGAGTTCCATTCGAGACGGCTTTTTTCGACTTTAAAAGCTTCTCCGAGCTCACACAGAGTCATTATGAAAATGGAAGCTCTCTGACACAGCAGTTATGCAAGGTTTGAGTCCTTACACAATAACCCCTCAGTCACAGACAGCTTAGCTTTGAAATGCCAAGCAGGGTCGCTAAAACGATGCCCAGGTCTGAAACAGCCCGTCAGTCAAACCTGTTATTGTTTGATTCTTCAGATTTATCTTTTATACACGACGGCGTCACTTTACCATCAACGTATTCACAGAGAAAAAAACTAAAAAGGATGAGAGCAGGAGGAAGTGTAAAAACTGAAAACTGGAGGAACAGAGAGTCAGAGTGCTTCTGGGTTGAGAGGCTTTGAAAAAAAAAAAAAAAACACAAATCTCACCGTTTTTGGCCAACTCAGCTATGATGTTGGCTACTTTTGGAGTGTAGGAGGACTCAGGCTTTAGCAGGCCGGGGAGCAGGGGCAGGACCGCCATCTCCTGGATCTTCATGCTGGCCTCGGTGTCTGCAGGCAAAGAGAATGAACTGTAGTCACATCAATGCATGCTAAAGTCAAGGACGGCTGAATAATCACAGCTCTAACATGTACATATCATCCTGTAGCCAAATCGTACTGTACAGGTTTTTAAAATAAATGAATTATCTTGAGCTTGTTTTGTAGGCAAAAGAGGAGGTGATTCTGGTAATAGCTTTGCTTCAGCACCAGGCGCTGTCTGCTGTGTTGTTAAAAAAATAATAAAATAAGTAAAAGTCACAACTATAAAAATATTGCAGGCCGGCTATTTTTTCTGGCAGGCCAGTTTCTGACCCCTGACCCACAAACAAATGTGCTAAATACATATAAAAAGGGCGGTGCAATTAAACCGCGCCATTGAGCCACCCTGGATCACCGTGCAACAGTCCAATCATGCACTCGTAGTTTAGGATAATTCCTGTGAAAGGCCTCCTCATATGCTGATCACCTGATGTGAAAACTGACTATCGAGTGGAACTTTTCAAAACGCGAGTAATCTCATTTGAACGTCTTGAGCGGACTTCCGGTGTGTATGCCTGTGTGTGCGCGTGTGGATAAGAGAACAGAGGGAAATAAGATGAGCAGATTAAAGATGTGTGTTACCAAAAGCACAACCCCATCGAGGAACACACAACTACTGGTACACAATTCGGCTCAGCAGATACTCAATATTAAATGTCTTGGATCTTGGATGATGGATGTTGATTCAGACTCTACTCACTGTTGTTGGCGAGAGCTTTGAGCAGGCAGTCCAGGCAGCCCTCCACGCTGTCTGTGGCGCTGTCTGAAGACGCTAGCTTCAGCTTCTCCAGGGCGTCACTTAGGTTATCTGGAAACAGAAACAGTTCATGAATAAAGACTGAGAGATGTTTTCATCTAGAGGGATGATGGCATTCACGTAACATATAGAAAGAGACAACTTTGGCCAGTATGTTTTTCAAGGTCTAGGATTGAAAATTTTGGACCTTGGTCCAGAACTTGAGGCCAACATGGTAGAACATCAAACTATTTTTTTTTTTTTGCAAACAAATGAACCAAAGGTGTGAGAAAACCTCTAAAGCTTCAAAGTGTGAGCAGAGGTGTCAAACACAAGCAAAAAAAAAAACACTCCAGCATGTTCTGCAGACCAGAGATAAACTGGCAACTGTTCAAATGTGTGCTGGGATCGAGTCCAACTACCTGCAACCCACGACAGAATGAATGGCAAAGAGATAAGGTGGCAGAGGAATATCTTAAGATGTTCATCATTTGAGACTTTGCATTCGATATTGATGTTGATTAGATCAACTGTATGATAGATATAGTGTCAATAAATTCACCTGCCTTCTACCTGTAGGAGATAGTGCTGGTGTATTAGCATGTTTTATGACACAGGGTACCAAACCAACAAATGTTTTCTGTCTTTCATCCTACAGAAACTCCATCTCTAACCCAAGCTCCAACAAAACGGAGCACAACAGAAACCCAAAAAACGACTGTGAACCTAACGACAGACTGAGAATCGGAGCTGAGGTGGGATTTAAGCCTCCTGACGAACTGTTACAACACGCCCAGCTGTCAATCATGTCAGCTACGCGCCTTACTATGGATAACACGTATCGTTCATCAAATCAAAATGGAGCAGTTTAAAGAAAATTCACCCCCCTATACAGTGTGTGCCGATCGAGACATGAGCTAATCAGACCTATTTTGTTTTTTTTGTAACATGTAAACATGTTAATCTCTGCTGTGAAAACAGCATTTTTTGGCTGTGGTGTGTGTGTGACTTCCTGTGCTTCTGCAGCCAGCCTCTAGTGGACACTCAAGGAACTGCAGGATTTTACACTTCTGCATTGGCTTCATTTTTCAAAACCGGAGGATGCCGCTTAGTGTGACTTTGACAAAAAAAGAAGTGTTGACAAATATGCAAACTGGTTATATAATTAAAGCAATAAATACAAGAAACAAAGAGTGCAATACAACAGGAAAATAGAAGCATACAGTTGTTTCTCCTTATTGAAGCACCCAACGAAATGTCCCACAAATACTTAGATTCTACCAACAGAGAGAAGTTCAGGAGGAAGATAAAGCAGCATGGTCAGCACTAAAGAGCAGCTATGGTTATGTATGCGTGTCTGTTTGTTTAACTGCATGCCGGTCTATGCCATATGGACTGATGGTATGCTGCAGCAGCTCTACAAACATGCGTTACAGTTGTCATCCATGTTTTACTGACAAACACCCCCCCCCCCCTTATTCAGTGTACTGCTGCTCTGGTTACATTACACCTCATTAACTGAACATGCTGTATCACTGACACATCTTACACTACAAACATACACAATGACATCATGCAGATTGACATACAGCGAGCGTAAGGTCAAACTGAGTTCCAGGCCATGCTCTCTGGCTGCGAGCTTCATGTGGCCACACTCAGCGGTTTTCTTCCAGTTTAACTTCATGACTGAACAACGTCATCATCTCGCTAAGAGGTGAAATCAATTTATCTGGAGATAGTCGTGATGGTGATAGTTAAAATGTAATCAGTGTAACAATCTGTCCTTACAGAATGCGATGCCAGGGACTAAATCAGCTTGATTCAATTGTTTCCTTTCTGAATGTCCAAACTGTCGGGAGTGACGCAGCATGAAGCTGCCCCCGACGCCCCCTTTCTAATGTCCTTTCTGTCGCTAGTGTAGACATGGACGAGGAACGAGGGGGCTCTACAAGGCACTAGCTTTTATCACTCAACAGAGCTTGTTAGCTTGTTTGACAGAGATTGGAGATAACAGTGGATTAATAATATCCATGTCTGTGTTGAATGTTGAGCTTTGACGTTATATCAACCGTTTATTGACGAGCGTCTGAGCGTTGTGATTTGAGTCACCACTCTTCTGTTTGACCACCTTTAATACAAAAGCTCCGCATGTCAGAATGTATGCGAGGGGAAACTGAAATTCACAGCGCAAAGAAGGAAATATCTAACAGATGTAGTGTGGACAACGAGCGCTCCCATCGTGCACGATGCAACGATATCGTGTGTTGTTAGGACACGATGTTAGAGCAACAAAGTGTTTAAAAAAAAACCAACCTCATACAGTCTTTAAAAAAGGAGAATCAAGTTAAAGACGGCATCTGAAGGATGTGTATTCTGACACATACAGTATCTTGTTCTTGGCTTCTTTATATATTCAGAGTAGTGATTCCACTCTTCTGACTTAAGGAAAAACAAACATGGAGGCAGACTTTAGTTCATGACCAGCGCGCCTACTCAGAATCATGGCTTGAGCGTATTTATTTCCCCTTTCATTTTCTCTGTAATCCATTATCAGGACGATGAGTGAGGAGACGGCTTCACTGTCAGCCACATGAAAGTGAACCAACGATTAATAACTGCTGCTCATCCATCCATCAAATGTTATGGATCAGTTCACCATTCCTGTGATTAATCAGCATCATTTGTTGCTCCTGACTCTGTGAGATGAAAGCAGCTCGTGGCCGTCCTCAGAGATGCTTGATAAAGATGCAATTTGTGATATTTGACAGCTGATCAACACCTCATCAACAGGCTTCATATCCTGATTAACAGTCTGATATCACACCTGTACATCACAGTAGTGCTGGGCGGTTTACCAGTTCGTATTGAATACTGGTAGTTCTTGTATGAAATTATTTTTTCATACACTGCAAATGCAATCCCGGTGAATGTTGCAAAAGGCTGTGTTCTCTATTGAGGGGGGGAAACTTTTTACTGCTGCACGGCTGAAGGGCACACTGGGTAGAGTGCAGGTACAACCAACTGAGCAACCTAAAGGGGGCAACACTTGCAATTTACTCCACCACCTCAGCAGAAAAAGCATGTCTTGAAAAACCAAGAACATGATCTGCTTCGACCACATCAAACAGCCCTGGTGAAAAAGTGAAACCAAAGACGGGTCGGAGGTCGCTTGAATACGGGTTTGCTCGCCCTCCTGCCTGTGCCCAAGCAAAAAGCAAATACTGCGATATACCATGAAACCGGTATAACTTGGATAAATACAGTGAGATACGTTGTTTGTCATACCTCCCAGCATTATAAAATATATCTTATGAAAGCACGCATCTTAAAAACCCTTTTCTTTATGAGCTACAGTCTGGTTTTGGCAGCATTTTAACTCACAATCTACAGTCTCAGCAAAACCTGAATAGGACTGACCCGTCAGGTTTGGTCCAGCTTCGGCCTCTAATTACTCTGGAGGCTGACACGCCGCTTTCTCGCTCGTTTTATCGATCGTAGAGAAGAAGATTCATTTTAATCATCTCAGATTGTTACAATAACACTGGGATTTCAAGCCATGCCAGCACAGTGCCTACAAACCAGATGATGATACATTGCATAATGATTGCAGACACTGTTGCATTGACCTGGTTGGTGCCGTCAGTTGCGGCGCGCAATGCACAGCAGCACACATCAATCCACAACGATAAGACACCAAATGAGAACATGAGGGATTAAACATTGTGTAATATCTCCTGAACTGTCGAAAGAAGATTGTTCTGGATGTCATTCTGAAATAAATGCAATCTGTTAACATGCATTTAAACTCAGAATGAACCAATATGAGTTTATAACCATTCATCAGTATTACAGAGAGCAGTGCAGTATAAACAGCAACACAAAGTGGGCTGCTGGATCCTATTGCATAACAGCTGTGGAGATGGAGGAGTGCCATCTACACCATCAGCAGCTCATCAGGGGGATGTGGCTCCATTCATTTAGCATCTCCAGTCCCAAATGAATCACATCAACAATTAGACATCATATCTTCAAATTAAACACGGCTTCAAGGCGGGGGGATCACGACCAGTGATGGAGGAGAGAGTGGATGGAGAGTCAGAGAAGCAGCAGCTACCCCACCCGAGATCTGAAGCTGACACGCAGGCGCACACTTTAGCTAGTCAGCCTTTTTCTCCCACTAACGTTAAAATAACAAAACTAAAGTCAACAAAAGGCAATACAGTGGTGGAATCACTGTAAGGATGATTAGAAAACTGTTAACATTACATGGCTGCTAATGGGTGTCTTCATTCATCAGGAAAAACACATTTAGGGGGTTAAAATGAACGTAAAACAGTTCTTGTTAGCTGGGTAGGCTGGTGTTTCCGTTTAACTAGTTACCGTGTCATTTGGTGACTCTCAGTCGCATATATCGGTTGTTGTCGTAGTTCCCTTCTTTAAATTAATCTATATCTCCTAGGTTGTACCTTCGTTGTTGTAGATTAACCGCCCTTCAATTACAAATTACGAATTGCAACAACCACCGATACATTCTTCTGAGAATCATCAGTTAGCAGGGTAACTCGTTAAACCGTAACACTGGTTAGCGCTAGCTGGCTACGTTACTCACCCATCTCAGCGTGATGTTGATACGTATAAGAAACGGGGTGTTTAGCTCTCCAGGGCAGCTGGTAACGCAGTCGTACGTTGCTAGCCAGAGGCCACGCTTTCCCCTCACCGTCGTCCCTTAAAACGCCCCTAAATGATGAAACTGGGGGATTGAGATTAGCGAGCTAGCCGGTTGGTATGAAACGGCAGCAGGCTCCGGGGCGGTCGGGCAGTCCCGCTCTGATGGATGCTGCAGCGGCCTGTTCACCGGCTGATACGCGGTTAACACATCTGACTTCCTCTCATATCCACACCGACAGTCAGTCCTGCTGGCTGGCGCTCCCTTGGACGACTGGCTGAGTGTGACATGACACCATCAAGTCCGCCAACATGGAGTACCAGTGCCACTTCCGGTCCCAGCCTTCAAAATAAAAGTAGTCGTGAGAATAGAGTAGATGTTTATTGCCATTTGCACAGGTACAGGACACTACAGGTACATTGGAATTCTTGTGCGTTTCTCCCTGAGCCAGCTTCTACAAAAAAAAGTTAAAATTATATATAAAATAGAATAGCATTGTAAGAAAAAAAAAAAAAGTAAAAGTAAAAATAAATAGGTTGCAGTAACAGCTAAGTGATTTAAAATAAACTGTACCGAAGTTATACACTGTATTAAAGCAAAGATATGATACGAAAAAAAATAACAAGGGGAACACTGTACACTGAAATGAAAATATAAATACATTTTCTTATTGCACACATATTTTTCACATTATATAATTGCACTGTTGTTTGTTTTTAAGGTTAATATTGCACACTGTGAGGAAGGATGTGGCTGCCAAACAATTTCTACCAGCAGTGGCGATTCTAGAGTCTGTTGGGGCCCTGGGTAAAATTGGGGGCCCTACAACCCACATGTAACACTCAGGATACAAAATTTACTTTAAATCAAACATGTATTTATAAATAATACATTTTCAAAAAAACAAGACATAACAAATTAATATGTGACTCTTGGAGCTGGTGGAGAATTAATTAAACACACGACACAGAATGTTGATAACAGGTTGTGTATTTCAAAGTTCAATTTGTAACAAATAACAAAAAAATACTTGAACTTAATCAAGGAAAATACCACAAGTTAAATAAAAGAAAATAGGCCTTCAATTAACAGATTCTGAAGGGCACTTTTTACCCTCCATACAACATTGGTTAAATATTCCCAATTCTAGTCGTATAAATCAATGCACCAAACACATTACACGTACTGCAGTTATTTGTCATGTGTGTGCAGATGTCCAACGAATTCAAATGTTTATTTAGGTAGGGGAAATCCTACCACACCCTTTAACCAGATAGCTAGGCTTGAGGCCTGCCTTTTGAGGGAATCTTGAGTCTTTTGAAGTTGCTCCTTTAGCTCGCCATCTTCTTTGCTCCAGCAATATGGCCTGACCAGTGTTCAGTCCTGACACATTCCTCCTCAGCAGCACAGCAGCTCCTCAAGGGCTTGAAGTCTCAGTTCAGTTGAGTCCAGCTTTGTGTCCAGGGTTGTAAGCAGTGTTTTTCTTTCAGAAGTTCTCCTTGACTGTTTTAGGAATGACTGTCTCCTGCTGCCTTCTCACTGACTCCTTGATTGGTTTCTTGATTAGTGCACCTGGTGAAAGGGGGTAGATGCCTGTTGGCTGTAGGCTGCATCCAATTGGCTCAGGATTTGAATGACAGATGCTGTTGTCCAATGTCAGCAGTGTTACACACATTTATCACCATAATTTCTGCAATTGTCCTGAAGCTTACTCCCCTTCCCCTACAGTATTTTACTGTTTCTTTTTTCTCTCCTATAGACGGATAATTCCTCTTTATTTTCTATTTTTGGTAATCACACCAATAATGCATGCAATGCTTTGCAAGGCAACAAAAGTGGATGCTTTTAAACGGGGACCCTAATGGAGGTTTCCTACTGTCATTTTTGGGTCGCTGCTGTGGTTTTATGAGCCCTCAGGGACCCGCTACTGGTCTGGGCCCAAAGCAGTTGCCTGCCATGACTGTAGCAAGCAGTGCCTCCATCTGCCAGGCCCACTCTTTGGCAATCCAGTGAAAGTTTCTTGTCTCCTATCACAGATTTTTCTAAATACAATAATCAAAATGACTAATATATTAAAGTGTCTTAATGCAATTTGAGTTGAACTTACCTTAAAAAAACTATACAGTAAAATCTGCTCAGAATTCTCAGGACTACAGTCTGGGACATGAGGAATAAGAATCCATTGATATTTGAGTCATATTTAATATTTTATTTTTAAAAATCTGTGACAGGTGACAATAAACTTTCAATAAAAGTGTCATAATTCAATTGGAGCAGACTTTACCTTTAATTATCTCAAAAACTATACAGTAAAATCTGCTGAAAATTCAGCAGTTATTACTGATCGTCCTCATTTCCAAAAGCCTCTCTGCTCCTGAACTCAGCAGCGAGACCAGTTAATTAAAACGGCCACTAGGTGGTGCTGCTTCTTTAGAGATTACATCTGATTCTGAGGAGCTGTAGAGGTTTGACCTTTGACCGGATGGTGCTGCAGAGAGAAGACCCTTAGAGAAGGTATCTCTTCAATATCTCTGTTAATACAGCACAAGAGTGATGCAGTGATTTATTCTCCTCTGACGTCTTTAAATACTTTTTATCTCTTTCATCTTTGTCAAACTAAGTCATTTTCATACTCTATACACATTATTTTAAATTAATGTTTGGCTTATCTATTCCACTATCTTTCCACTTCCCCTCATTATTACTGCACAAATGGAGCCCTGGTGTACAGCACCCCCTGCAGGACAAACCATTTTAGATCAATGTGCGTGGTCATATGTGCACTGCATACATGCAAACCTTTTCTGGCTTCAGAAATCCCTGTTGAGTTTTTTTTTTGAGCTGTCTCAGCCAATTAAAAAGCTATGATACATTTAATTTTCTCTCCTCTGCGTATAGTCCCTCCGACTGCACGTACCAATAGTTTGTTCCAATATTTATAAGTAGATAATAGAAATATTTACATCATTATATTCTTGCATGCATGGCTTCTGTGTATGTATATAATGCATCCTGATCAAAAGTCATTCATTGTCCTCTGTGTCAATGTCAGAGTCAGAGCAGGCAGGAAGGTGACAGAGTGATCGACAGCTCCGTCTGTTCCTGTGACTGAGACGCTGCACACGCAAAGTTCATGACTTCTGAGGGGGCTCGGTTTGGACAGCAGGATGTGACAATCAAATTTCTCCAAAAAGACAGAGTCAGTGGGAGCTGTTTGTCAGGAGGTTTATTCATGTTATGTACAAGCATGTGTGTCACCGAGGCGGTAACTGTCTGAGAATACAACAGAGTAGAAAAATGGATTAAGGTGCAAAAAACAAACACTGATGTACGAGACTGTACCCCTCCCCCCACACCCTCCCACACCCCACAAACCCCTCCCACAAACCCAAGCCATGAACAACAGCAGGTTCCCACATCGGACATGTCGCTCAGTTTGAAGCCACACGGAGCCGACGGGGGATCAAAAAGAACAAAACACTTGCAGATAAAAGTCCCCATGTGCCGCTGTCTTCACGCTAACATGCTGACTAGTGTCTAACTCACAGATCTGTTGGTTATCGGTTTGAAAGCAGGTTGAGGATAGAACATATTTACAAGACTGAAGAGGCGTCGGCGCCTGTGTGCAGCATGAAGTCCCAAACTGGAGCAGTATTACAGGAAGCACCTTGAATACACAGACTGCACAGAAGAAATGGACGTTACATATTGGTTCTAAAAGAAGCTAATGCAGAAGTCATTTCTTACTGCATTACTTCTAATGGCCAGCAGGGGGGCGACTCAAGTGGCTGCAAACAAATTGTCGGATTGTTATGAACCCAGGTGAGAAATAAGAGCCGTCTGCTCAGTAAACCTAACCAAAGCATGCTAAGAGTCTCAATCTGTCGTTACACGTCTTTTTTTGTAAATTTGAGTTCAGGTTTTGAGTCAAAAGGACAAAAACTATCTCAGCGACGTTCCAATCACGAGAGAGGTTTCCACCCTGACATCTGGATATGTCACTTAAAGGGCCTGTGTCCACTTGCCAGGTTTTTTTTCGGACAGAAAAGCGCTGGCTGTAAACCAGGGAGTGATTGGATGAAGCGTTTGTGCGCTGTGAATAAAAGCGCCAAGTCTCCATGACAACAGTGTGTATGGCTGACACTGCTCCACTGCTTTTGACTGTATGTTTAATTTTTTTTTCCCCTTCACCTTGAGCATCAAATGGAGGATGTTCGTCCTCTGGAGGATGACGGCCCCACTACCACTGACACGGAGGATGTGGGGACACGACGTGATCCACACGTGACTTAAATACCAGGAAGTTGAACGATTTTCAACTAGAAGAGCTCGGAGTGGCTGCTGCGAACGCTCTTTCCTTAAGGGGAACAACTAAAGTAAGACGCTGCCGATAAAAACGTCAGGTGGACACCGACCCTCAGACACCCCCCCCCCCCAAAAAAGATGGCGACCGTCACAAACCAATAGGTTGATACGTCCACTCCTTTGACACAGTCTGAATACTAAACAATATCAACATGTTAGCAAAGCAGATACAGGGAAACACAAAACTGTAAAAAAGCACCATAACAATGTGACATTGATGGAATATTTGTGTGTGTGTGTGTGTGTGTGTGTGTGTGTGTGTGTGTGTGTGTGTGTGTGTGTGTGTGTGTGTGTGTGTGTGTGTGTGTGTGTGTGTGTGCGCGCATGAAGAAGTCTGGACTTTAAGACATTGGGTGCACACACACACACTTGCACACACAGTTCACAGGGTTACAGTTAACCAGTGACGTGATTGGAGGAGCTGGACTGAGGCTACTATTATCAGCCATGTTGGTCGAGGTTTGAGAGTGCGAGCTCTAAATCTGAGGGGAACTGTTTAAAACACACCAGAGTCCTGCTTTAAAACTGAGAAGGAACACGATTCAAAAATCTTCACGCAACTTTAACCTCATCTTTAAAATATAGATTTTGTGTTATTGTAACAGCTCCCGGTCGTAACGCAGAACTACAGCTGACCTCTGTGACTTATCGTGTTTATCGTGGTTTTATGTCTTAATTTGTCGGCTCTTTGGAATCATTTTGTTTTTCAGCAGAGCCACATTGATGCTCATCTGGTGCGTCTTCAAACACGCACCGTGTACGAGATCCGTCTAAGGGTCTGTGGTGCGCCGCTAATCGAGTGAAGAAAGCTTTAAATATATAGAGACATAAATAAACAAAGGGAAGCTAGTATTTCCTTTAAACATTTACAAATAAATACTTGGTTTCCACCTTTTTGAACCCAAACTGACAAAATGGATTTGAATGGAAAGAAAAGAAAAAAAAAGGTTGACTGCTTGAAGAAAAGAGCACGGCGGACAACAACAAGTGGCACAACTTAGCACACTGAGCATGCTCGACAGTAAAGACGTCTGTATGTTGAGGAGCCGACAGGAAGCTAAAAGCAGCGACTTGTTTTCAGGTTCATGTGGATGTGCTGAGCTCGTGTCCTCCTCTCTCAACACTCTCACACTGTAAGAACAGTCTTAAATAAATATATACACAATTTCTAAAAAAAAAAAAAAAAGAAAAGAAACAAAGGAAGTGAGACAGGTCAGATGTGCCGGGTGATGATTATGTGCCGCTCTTCTGCTCCCACTCCTGCAGAACAGAGAGAGAGGGAGACTCTGGGTTAGCAGGAAGCTACACACTTTAACATAATCACAGTCACACCCAGGGCGACCTCTGACCTTGGCCTTCCTGAGGACGTGTCCCCGGACTGTCGAGGGCTTCTGGGCCCCCTGCCGGCGGAGCAGGGAGGCGCTGTTGACCGGCAGGGAGCAGGACTCCGTGTCGCTGGTGTCACAGCTGGAGAAAGGAGAGGACCCCTGAGTCCGTCGCGTCATGGCTGGTGACTACACACACACACACACACACACACAGACACACAGATACACACACAGACGAAGGAAGGAAAAATAATCAGCTTTTAGATCTACTGTAGAAGTGTTCCTCGGACCAGAATAACAATAGACTACGATGCAGAGGTACGGGGGTCTCAGGTGTTCTGACCTGGAGTCCAGACGAGCCTGTTTTGGGTTCGATGGTGAGGCCCAGGGTGACGCCGCCGCTCAGGGCTTTCTTCAGGCTCTCCTTCACCTCCGTCACCTCCAGCTCCAGGTTCACGCGCTCCTCCTCCTTAAGCCTGCAGTCCTCCTCCACCTTCTTCAGGCGCTCCGACAGCGACGCGAGGGAACGCTTGCCTAAAAGGAAGGAGAGAAGGGGATTCATTCTCTGAGTTTGATCACTTTAATAAAACTTTTGTATTTAACTCCTTTAATCAACCTCTTCTTCTTCTGAGTGTCTCTCTCTTCTCTTGCTCTCTCTCTCTCTCTCGCTCTCTTGCTCTCTCGGTCACTCTCTCTCTCTCTCTCTCTCTCGTCACTCTCTCTCTCGCTCTCTCTCTCGCCCTCTCTAGCCCTCTGTCTCTCTCTCTCTCTCTCTCTCTCCCTCTCTAGCCCCCTCTCTCTCTCTCCCTCTCTCTCTCGCTCTCTCTCTCTCCCTCTCTCTAGCCCCCCCCTCTCCCTCTCTCTCTCTCTCTCGCTCGCTCACCAGCAGCAGCCTCCACAGCAGTGCGCAGGTCCCTCCTGTCTTTCTTCAGCTGGGTCAGATGGTTCCTGATCTCCTGCTTCCTCTTCATCAGCTCGTCCTCCTTGGACTGCAGCCGCTTGGCGTCGGCCTCCACGCGGTTCTTCCCATACTTAACCTGCTCTGCATCTGCACAGAGAGATCACATGTAAAGGCGCTGGAAACAGAAGGTCAAAGCACGATGAAAACGTTCTTAAGTTCGAACCGTTCAAATGTGGGACTTGTTGCACAAGCCGACCATGCAGTAGCTCTGTTGAAAAGTGCGCAACAAATAAGACATGATGTTAACGTTCTTTTCTATGCTGATGATACTCAGGTATACCTGCCTGTTAGAGCCACTCACCCAGCATGCTCAGTTCTGCTCATATGTTTTAAAACACAGGATGTCACTAAAGTTTCTGCAGCCCAACTCATACAAAGCTCAGATTGTCATGTGCTCCTTCACACCTTGCAAAACAGCTCCTGCCATCTGCTGGCTGCCCAGTGAATTACTGTCTGGTTCGATAGTAACTGAACTAGTACGGTCATGCAGTGGCGTCAGAATGAGTTTTAAAGTGGGGGGACCTCCCGCTGGATGACGTAGTAGATCCTCTTTATACCTTTATTTTCTGTGATCCGACTGCGTTCAGATAGCACCTGACCACTTACACGTACACCTGGTATTACTCAGAATCTCCAGTGTCCACATGGAGGTTCTGATCTGATCGCACTCTTTCCTGCTCAGCTCTTCTTCTACTACTTCTTCTACTCTGAGGCGATGCCAGCGAGCTAGTTCAACGTCAGTAAAAAGTCCAACTTCCACAGGAAGTCAGGACCCTAAATGAAGCCCTCTGACAGAGTTTTCTTAAACGATAAACTTTTATGATCTTTACTAGGGGAGTGAATAAAATGCTGCAGAACTGAGAAAAAAATGCAGAATATTCTCCAGACCGTCGCTTGTGACGCCGCTTCACTGTTAAGTCGTGAAACTAAAAAGTTTTACGAGGCAAAAGGAAACAAAAACCAACACGTGTTGTGGAAAAAAGGGTTTTAAAGTCGTTAATATCAGAGCGCTGGTGAGCATGAATTACCCAGAAACCCCCTGACCTCACAGCCTTCAGCAGTTATTAATTACACGATGCCTTTCCCTTACTGGAAAATACACTGAGGGTAACCATCAGACGTGTGTGTGTGTGTGTGTGTGTGTGTGTGTGTGTGTGTTGCAAAGAATCTCTCATAAAAACCGCTGCTGACATTTTCAAATTCTCGAAATATGAGCATTGTGTCACTTTCTCTGAATCCAGCATGGCACATTTTTCCATTCCGACATCTGGAGGAGTGACAACCCTCCTCGTTCACACATTAGGCAAAAAAAAAGAAAAAACTACTCCGCACCGCAAGGATTAGCACGACCACACTCCAGCCTCTCCCCCCAAAAAAATCTGGGCTCCACTCCTGAGACCTGCCGCGTCTGTTTGAGTCTGAAACCCTCGACCCTGGCAGGAGGTTTTCTCGAGTCTGACCCACTTGCGTCACACGTTTGGTCCTGAGGGTTGGGAAGCTTTTAGGATTTCAAGTTATTTACCAGCGCCTCTTCTTAAACCTCAAACCGTAACTCTCAAACCCTGCAGTTTCCAAGAAGCTGTGGAGCAGAGCTTTGCTTGAAAGTGAGGTGATGACGCCGTCAGTGTGACGAGACTGTTTTTGTTGCTACTTACTCGAGCTGTTGCGTTTGAGCGAAGCCGTCCCGTTCATGGCGTTGACCCCGTTCTTTTTGGTCTGGTTCTTTTGATCGGCCTTCTGTTTGGAAGTGATCCCATTGGTGGCCGCTCCTTTCTTTCCCTTCAGCTGATTGGACAAGAGAGGAAGAAAGACTTTTCATGTCAGTATCATCATCAGTCCCAAATCCCTCATCAAAATCACCCGTTATTTCTCCCTCTCCACCGTGCTCCCCCCCCCCCCCACACACACACACACACGTCAGTAACCTTGGTGTCATCTCAAATCGAACCCTCTCCTTTGACCAACACATCAAACACATCACCACAACAGCCTTTTCCCTTCACAGAAACACTGAACGCCTCCGGCCAATTATTTTTATTACCACTAGAGGGCAGCAGAAGACGCTTGGTGATGTTTGGGGGAGTCATTACATCTGGATCAATTCTGGAGCTCCTATCATCAATGTGATCCAGCGGGTGCTGTAATGCAAACCTCTCTGTACTCAATTCTATTTCTTACAGTTCAGCGGTTCTTTGTGGTCTTGGAGGCGATGTTAACACTCCCCCGGGACACGCCACACACTGCACACACATCAAAAGGTTGGCAGGGAGGAGGCGGAGCTCCAAACAACAGCATGTGGTGACTTATGTGGCTGTGAAGGCACGGTGGCACTTAGAGCGGGCGGGGTTTAAATATAAATCACACACAGCTCATTGGTTAAGGAGAGGAGGAAGGACACACACACACACACACACACACACACACACACACACACACACACACACACACACACACACACACACACACACACACACACACACACACACACACACACACACACACAACACACACACACACACACACACACACACACACACACACACACACACACACACACACACACACACACACACACACACACACACACACACACACACACACACACACACAGAGCGCTTCACTCAGAGCGCTTGTAGTTCTCTTTTAATCAATAACATCAAGGCTGTAGGTGTTCATAAAGAGCTGGGTCTTTATCTTTTTCTTAAAGGTGCAAAGGGACTCTGCAGATCAGATAAAGTTTGGTATTTCGTTCCACCACCGGGGGGCGACAGAGGAGAAGAGTCTAGCTAGAGACCCTGTTATGAAGGGCCCTCAAAAGATAATTTCGTCATTGGCTGGAGGAAATGCCCCAGCTCCCCACCCAGAACACAGATACAGTCACCACCACACATGTACGGAGGCTCAGAAGCTTCAATTCTGTTTAAGTCTGTATTTTCTTTTCTTTTGTAGGAAAAAGCCTCTGACTGATATGACTCGAGTGAAGTCAGGGTTAAGACTTCACTCTCAGGGTTGGAGGTGAAGCACATGTCGAGTGTGTTTTCAAAGACTGAACATGGGAATGATTCCGACGCGGTCATGGCGATAATCAAATTACCTAGATCCACAACAGAGGGATCCACAGGCTGATGGGAAAGAGACAGAGGTAAGCATACGGGTGTCCAACATCAACACCTCATTTGGTGAGTGAAAAGTGCGCTCCTCCAGGAACAATAAACAACATATTCTCCCTTTTCCTTCAGCCTAACATCTCTGACTTTCACATGTTCACAGCTAACTTTAAACATGATGAAACACTTTGTTAAACACGATTCACTGACGGGCGCTAAAGCTGAAATATTCAAGCTTTCCTTATCAAAATAGTTCAAAAGACTGTGTGATGTTAGCGACAAACCAATGGAGGTGTTGTGTTAGCATGCTAATGTTAGCGCTCTTTAGTTAGCTTGTAGCTTCACCTTGCATTTAGATTGACACAGATCTAAAAACGCTTATGTGACATCCAAATAATCAGTGAGTATGTTCTTCTTGACTAAAACAGCTTTTATACACAAGGGGAGGAGCCAACCGTCCCGTCCATGTAAACACAGCTCTAACAACAACACAGCCAGCGGGACTCGAGCTTCTCACTCATTGTAGACAGTCATGACTCAGAGACACATTTAGACTGGATAGACTGGATTTCTTATGTATAAATGTTGCTTTGAAACCCAGAAGAGTCATAATAGACTTTGAAATGATTACCTACTGAACAGTCAGGTGTAAGAAAAGAAAAGGGAAAGAGTAAAGACAAAGAGTGTTAGTCACCTGCGGCGTCTCTTTAGCTTTAGCGTCAGCAGCAAGGAACTTAGAAGAGACTTTAGAGACGGGGCTTTTTTTAGAGACGGGGGTTTTATAGACAGCAGCAGAGGGAGAGGAAAGCTTTGCAGGGAGACGAGACGCCAGCTTGGGCGAGGGCATGTTCTCATAGAGGTCAGTGTTCTCATAGAGCAGCTCCTTTTTCAGCTGGTGCCCCCCTGTGCTGGGACTGGAGTACTGCACATCAGGGTCCTTGTGTTAGAGCGAGTGGGCATGCAAAGCAAGTAGAGGAGAGAAGGGGAGAGATATGAAATGTTCCAGGAAGTAAAGATAAAGAAGGGAAGAGAAGAGGCGGATGACAGAGGGTTAGGGTTAGTTACACTACAGTTTGAGTTAACAGTTCATAAATGACACATCATATTATTAGATCACATCGGAGGAGGGAAAAATGAAAGGTCACATATTCTGTAAAAAACACTTCATCATGTTTCTCTAACTCTAATATTTGTCTCTAGTCTGTCTACAAACCCCCCAATGATGAGAAAAGTCCATCCTCTCCGTCTTTTGCCTGCTCCACTTTTTAGAAAATGTGTGCTCAAACAGGCCGTTTGGAGATGTTCCCTTCATGACATCACAAAGGGCAGGAGCCCCTCCCCCAGGTGGGTGACACTCCCACAGCTAGGTGTTTGTTCTGCCCTCTGAGTCTGCCTTCTCACCGTAAACAATAGGACATGGAGCGAGAAAGCCTGAGTACACCCAAGCCCTTCCAGAGAGGGGGCGTGGTCAGACACAGCTCATTTACATATTTAAAGCTGCAGACATAGAAACAGCCTGTTCTGATCAGGGCTGAAACAGGGGGGTTTATAGACATGATCAAATACAGGATCAGAGTGGATTTAGAACAAGAAACTTCACACACATGTTTTGAGGAGCTCTGAGACTTATTTAAACTGGTTGAAGAGGAGGAGAATATGTGACCTTTAATGCCGTACTTTAGAGTGAACTAAGAAAACGACGTTCACTTTATAGCTCAGCTAAGAGTTTAATAAAAACAGTGAGCAGGTGCGTCCTTACCGTCCCGTTGATGGGCACATCATCGTAGTGCAGAGCCATACCGGAGGGGCAGGCGTAGCCATTGACCGGGTTGTCCAGGTACGGGTTAGGAGAAACCGCTCGCTTACTGGTGAAACTGGGATGAGAAATAGATCAATTACACCGTCACACACCCTGTGCATGAATCAGTGAATGCAGTAATGTCAGGATTTTAGGTCATACGGCTTCTTAAATGTGTTTGTCCCTCACCAGAAGGACTGCTTTGCGAGCTGGATGACGTTGGCGGTGGTCTCGACGTCGATGTAGTCGTAGTGCAGGGTGGCCGGGTCGGTGGTGGAGCCAGTCTCAGCCAATAAGACCCCCAACCAGCGGCCCATCATCTCAGAGGAGGACGCCTGGAGGAAGAAGGATAGGGTTAAAGACGTTCATCAGACAAGATCAACTGGAACTGCTGTGAAGTCTATTTGATCACTTTTAGGGACAAAAAAATGAAAGTCAAAAGATTTCTCCAGCCAGGCGGCAAAATAATCCAGTGAGGCAAACTGTCCCGTCTTAAATGAACAGAATCCCTGACGTTTCTGCATCTTTTTAAAAAGGCCCACAGTGGTGTCATGGCTCACTTTTACACAAGAACACACAATAGAATGAAATCAGCGCTTTTAACTCACCTCCAGCACGGCGACCTCCTGGCCGTTACGAAGCAGACGGAAGGCAAAGGGGTGTTTGTTGTCGAGGCCCGGGCTCACCTCGCAGCCTCGGAGGGGCAGTGAGGCGATGTGGCTCTTCAGGTCGTCCCGGTCCTTGTGGAGGAGGAGCTGGTTGTCTTTCAGGCGGCACCAGCGCTCCCGCCAGCGGTTATTGGACAACACGTTCAGGTAGCCTGTCAATCAAGTCAAACACAGTCAGAAAAACAAAGTCAGGACTTCAATGTACATAAAAACACAAGAGTGTTCCTGTGAGGGGAATTATGTAAACACATCCCGGCAAATAAGATTTTAGTTTTTATTGAGTTTTAAGATCCTGTATATTTTGCATAAAACATAAATCCAGACATACTCCGAGGAAATGTAATCCTGTTCTTACCGTTTGGACTACAAGCAAAAACAAAACCTGTTTAGAAAGCTAACATTCGGCCGTTTCAGATTGTGTTGAAATCCTTTCATGAATCATTAAAACGTCCATCCTACTGTTGAAATAAGACAAGCATTCGTCACTGACCACAGTCTGTTTGAGGTTATAAACGCTCTTCCTGATTTCAGGATGCAGGTTATTTATGTGGCTGCTGTGACGGCTGGATCTTGAGAGAGTTTAGACGTTCAGAATCACAGGAATCGTAGCTTTCTAACGACATACGGCATGAGTGATTTTATAAACAGCGGTTGTGTGAATAATGGTGATGATGAGAAAAACCTGGCCGTCAGATCTCTAACAGGTGTTTATTATTATATCTTCTTAACTTGTTTTGCTCAGGTTCTCTGGATATGAAACATTTGAACAAACACTAGCTGACCCTCCTTCCTATCCGACATCTCAAGGCAGACATCTTTATTCTTACCACACGTGGGGACGTCTTCTTCGGCTGACGACGTCTGCTCATCCGTGGACGGCTTCTTCTTACCCAGCCCGATGATTTTGGTGATCTTCTTCCCCGCCCCCTTCCCCACCGTCCCGCTCTTCTGCTCCGACTTTGAGTTCTTCTTTCCTTTTCCTGATACAGACACACAAACACAGCTTTTTTTAATGTGATATTCTGACTTTAATTAAAGGCCTCCTGCAGACTGGAAGCTGTAGTGTCATTATCCAAACATTACGTTACCGAGAGGAGGCTCATGTTCATTTCTGTGGATTTTGCAATAAATAGCGACGGAGAAAAGAGGAGAAAAGAGCAGCATTAGACTCTACTATAAACAACCACAAGGTCAGAATCGCTTCCATCGGGTTTAAAGAGACCCTTGTGGGTTTAAAAAACGCTTTGTTTGTGACTTAGTGTCGGTTTGCAATCCCAGCATGCCCCACTGGTCCGAGTGGGATGATTTCAGTTGGCCTAGTTTTCATGCAAAGACAGAGAGAGAGAGAGAGAGAGGAATGACTTTGCACATTCTGCTGAGAGGAGGGATAAAGTGGAGTAAGCCGAGTCTTAAGAGTCGGAGTCTGCGTCCGTCTAAATGAGGAAAGGAGCTTCTGCTTGGCTCCCTTTTTTAAGTCAGTGCGGTCTGCGGCGTGTTGAAATGTGTCCCGTTTGAGAGAGAGCGAGAGAAAGAAAAGAGGAAAATACTTTTGGTCGTTTTTCGACTCGACTGTGAGGCAGAAGCGGAGATGAGACGGGGAAGGGGGGAAAATGAAGAATTCCCCTTCTCTGATGTCATCATGCCGAGACGCTAACGGCTAACGTCTGCAGAAACACACACACACACACACACACACACACACACACACACACACACACACACACACACACACAAATATACTGTACACAATCCCTGCCTCGCACAAATCTGCACCTAGCTGCTGAAGGCTAACAAACAGAAATCCAAACTGATGGTCAATTTTTCCCCACGCTGAAATAAGGTGACAGCTCTAATGGCTACTGCATGAATTTAATAGGAAGACGTCTGCAGGATGGAGGATGGAAGAAGAGGAGGAGGAGGAGGACGGGGAGAGAGGAACAGGAGGTGTGGGAAGAGGAAGATGAGGAAGAGGAAAAGACGGAATAGGAAGAGAAAGAGAAAGAGGAGGGGGGGATAAGGAAGTGGAATTGGAAGAGAAAGATGAGGAAGTTGAGGTTGGAAGAAGAGAAGGAGGAGGAATAGGAGGAAGAGGAAGAGGAGGTGAAGGAAGAGGAGAAAGAGAGCCCCCTGGTGGCCGGATCTACAAACGCTAATCCTTCAACAAATCAAAGCAGATGAGTTATCAAAAAACTCCTCCTGAGACATGAGCTAATCACACCTGGTTCCTTTTTTGTACCAGGCTGTAAACATGTTCATTTCTGCTCTTTTGAATGGGTGTGTATGTGACTTCCTGTGCTTCTGCAGCCAGTCTCAAGTGGACACTCGAGGAACTGCAGGATTTTGCACTTCTGCATCGGCTTAAGTTTTTAACACTTGAGGAACGCTTGATGTCGTCTCATCTGAGGAGATAGTATCAAAATTTATTCCTCCTTTCTCCACGGTTTGACGGCGAAGATACATAAACATGAATTACACAACCGAGCCCATGAATCACCGCTCACCGCTCACTCCATAAAAAAATTACTGCTGAAGGTTTAAAATTAACCGCTGCAGGGAGATCTGTTGGAAAAATGAACCAATCTTTAAGAGGCAAAGAAATCAAGGATGAGTGTTCAATTTTGGTCGACGAGCCAAATAAGTGAGCTGCCATGTGAAATGAAAAGTGTCTCCTCTGAGAGTTGTGCCTGCTGAGCAAACAAACGGTGAATAATCAGAGACGGTTTCACACAAATCTCCGTGTTTTGGCATCTGGTTCTGCAGCAGGAGGATTATTCTCTGTGTAAGATTTATGTTACATAAATCTAAATGCTCATTCTTCATGCATTTTTAGTAAAGGTCGACCTTTTCAGAGCTCGCAGAGATTCATGAGACAGATTCATAGGGAGTCTTAAGATGAGGATTTAGCAACAGGGCGAGGTTAGGAATAAATCTGTGTTGGTTCAAGAAAAAACAATATTGATGAAGTCTGAGCGCTCTCTTAAAGGAGCAATACGTTACGCTGACACCTAGTGTTTAAAATGGGTACTGCAGTCACAATTCTAAACATTGTAGAGAGCTGTCTCCCCCCGCCCCCTCCTCTCTAGAGTCCATGCTCTCACAGGTCACCATGTGGTGGACTCTGAAGCTTCAGTGTTTATCCAGCTCTGCATCAGTCTCTAAACCTTTCTGTGTTCTAACCTCTCTCCATTTTTCAAAAGCATCTCCAATATTGATCCTAGTTTGAGCACGTTTCTGCTCGTGGAGCTTATTAGAAACATGCAGAGGCTTTTTAGGTCGGGTACAATCACTTCTATCTGAACCACTTCTCTTGCCCGCTTCCATCACTGCAACACCTGTTGACCTGATAACTGGTCTCATATCTGGTAAACAGAGGGGCGTCCAAAACGGCCGTGTGGGGGGGGGCCTTAAAACCGCCTACCTTCTCTGGTCCAAACAAATCCAGATCATTCAGGACCAGAATCTAAAGTTAGAAGGAGGACATACTGACTGCTGCATTGTTGTCAGAGAAGCCAGCGCTTCAACATGTTTACTTAATGTCTGATCAGATAGTAACTTTAACTTATACAGTTTTAGCTTTCTGTTTATCAACTGCAGGGAGATTATGAACGGCTGAGTTTACAGCTTAATTATGAAGAGAAGAAGAAAAGAAGTCGCGATAGAGTTCTACTCCAGAGTAAATGTTTCAGATTATTGGATCAAAGTTCCCGTTTGATTCTCACCTTGGTCCTTGCTGTCGCTGTGTCCGTTCTCATGAGCCACCTCACCGTCCGAGCTCGGTCTGTCGCACGATGCCTTCTGACAGACGCACACATAAACACACACACACACAGGGAAGCACAGGAAGGTAGAGAGTGAATAAACTGCACGTTAATGAAAAGGAACACGGACATTAATGCACCACCGCCTCGTTACATTGTTCACTGTGAAAACACACACGAGCATCTGCAACATGTTATGGATGAATAATTAGGCCGGCGTGTGTTTGCTGTGCCAGGTTGGAAGCTGTTTGTTGTTAAAGAGGCTCTGATGTTGCGCTCATTTTCCACCACACACACACACACACACACACACACACACACACACACACACACACACACACACACACACACACACACACACACACACACACACACACACACACACACACACACACACACACACACACACACACACACACACACACACACACACACACACACACACACTATCTTTCCAGCATTTACAGCTCTTTAACCAGCTTTTCCAAATGAAACTCAACGATGTGGTGTTTCCCTCGTGTGCCAGATGGAACAAAGTGTTTGTTTTTGGCAAACAGCTTTCACGAGCCGGAGTGATTGTGGTCGAATACGCCAAGAAACCAAGGGCCTCACGGAATAGACGTGCATTTGTGAATACCGGTGTTTTCAGACCAAACAGCTCGGGGGGGCTTCTTGAAGAGGAACTATCCACTGGGGGGGTTCCCTGAGATCTACACACCACGGGGTTGGACGATTTGAACCTGAAAGTGACGCAAGCCGGCCAATGGTTACTAACTTGACATAACTGAAAATATGGAAGACGCTATGAAGGGAGATGTGTGTTTAGACGTTTTCACACCCACCGCAGGAACTTTTTCAGAGTTTTAGGAACTGATGGAACCCTCCTCCTTTTTTAGTGATTGTGCACCGCAGGAACTAAGAACTATTTTAGTTCCTAGAACCCCCTTTAGAGGAACCTTGTTAGCTCCTACCTGAGTAGGTACCACGGCGGTGCAAATGCAGACAGAAATAAAGTTCTCAGAGAAGGCTCTAGTGGATAGTTCCCTTTTCAGAAAGTCCCCCAGGACGGTTGGGTCTGAAAACACCTTTTGATGCAGCTACAGAAAAAGTTCAATCAGCCTCGTCTTTGGCACATCCAGGACTGGAGCAGCCGGTTGGTGGACCAAAGTGTGAAAAAAAAAAAAAAACCTGTGAGGCAGCAGCGCTAACCACTGCTCCACCGTGCAGCCAAAAATAAGAATCCTTTACTCACATTTTCCTTATTCATTGCTTCTAACACAACAAAGATTCCAGTTTGCACTTTCAGGCAGCAAATCCAAATCCATCTGAACCCAACCCTAGAAAAGTGCGTGTGTGTGTGTGTGTGTTTACCTTTTCCAGTTCAGGTTTGTGCACCGGTGATCCCGATCCAGCTCCGTCAAAGTCAACACAGCCATTAACACACACCTCTCTCATCACCTGGAACACACGAGGAAAACACAGTGTTAAGCTAATGAGGCTACGTGGCGGTTCAGTTTTTTACTCTGCCATGTGTGAGCGTGATGCTAACACATGGGAGGATCCCCCGTACAGAAACATGTCCTCACGTTATCCCCACATAATTAAGCAGCTCATTCCCTCAGCCTGGAGGCGTGCCTGCCTGGGGATAATGCAGCCCACATGTTACGTGAACTCTCATATCCCATCATGCAACTGGAGGCAGCCAGGAGACCAGCAGGCCATGCAGTAGATGGAGAGCGTTCATGCAATGTGCCGGGGCGTCTGCTACACATGTTAGACACCACAGGGTTTTTACTACGTCCTGATGCAATAAGGTCAATTAGACGGGGGGGGGGGGGGGGGGGGATGAGATCTGCAGGGCTCTGCACGGGGCGCCAGTGTGCATTACCGTGACCTCGTTGGACTTCAGACCTGGCAACCCCACCGTCAGCTCTGGCAGTGGTAGGCGTGCAGTGGTAAGACGGGTGTGTGTAGATGAGCGGTGGGCAGCGGGAAATGAGATTTCAGTCAAACTGCTTTGTGCGCAAAACAGCTAATACACACATACACACACACACACACATATGCAGACTCTCCCCCCATCCTCTCCACAAGCATTCTGTACCCTCTCTGGTCGTACAGAACTCTCTGGTTTTGGCTCGGATGGAGCATAATTGGGGGAATGACAGACTGTGGCTCCACGGGTTTGGCTCAGCGAGCGAGCGGCTCAGGGGCCGGAGAGCGGGACAGACAGCAGCATCATGTCTATCCTTTCAGTGCGGCGCTCTGCTGCCAGAGTAAAAGGGATGCTACCTCAGTCTGATGAAGTGTTACAAATCTAACCCGAGAGGGTGGTGGGACTGTGTGCGATAGTTTTGGGTGATTCAACATAATTATCAATAAAAGAATATTCTGGGGATTGACAAGTGAGGCGTCTGAGAGCTGCACATTTCTCTTTTATTTTTTGTCCTGTAAAAGAAGCTTGAAGCTCCAGTGAGGAGTTTTGATCTGGTTATGAAACTGTCTGAAAATTCAAAACTGTTAAACTCTCTTTAAGCAAACATGACCATCAGAGGGAAGGTTGATTATTTCTATACAGATCATTTGAAGGTCTGTAAACGCTGCAGCAGGATCGGTGTCAGACCAGGAGATTAACATCGCACCTTTCTTTCGCAAAGTTTAACAATAAGTGATATCATTTGACTCTTAAAGTTAAGTAAAAACACATGATCACAGAGAGATGGGATGTGTTTATTTGTCCACAGGGGGCGCTCTGTACATCTCCTCTCTTTGTGATCCTCTCCTGTAAATGTGAAGAAAAGTCAGTTTCTTCAGGGTGATGTTGATCTCCTGGTCTGACAACGAGCCTGTGTGTTTCAGAGGAGCGGTATGTTTACAGTTTACACCACGACGGAGACGATGCCATTTTCAAGAGTTTGCGTGGCTTTGTAACAAGAAAGAAACATCATCATGTGGATACATACAGGAGAGCCATGCACTGTCAAATATTCTGCTGTGTTCAACAAGGATGCACGATGAGCTGTTCTGTGATTGCGGTGTTTGAAGGCACACTTAAGCTGATCAGCCATAAAAACACACAACAGTGAACAGGAGACTTACTTTCCCCGAGAGCCGGAGACAGTAAGAAGAAAGAGGATATCATTACATCAGGGAGACAAAGAAAAGCAGGTCATCCTGCAGCAGCAGCAGGCGAGAGGGAGAGGACAATATGGACATGTGTTTTCCATAAACAGGTCGTTAGCAGACAATGTCTGGGAGAGTCATCACTGGAACTTCTTCAGGTACTCTCCCAGCTTCTCTCTTCACACTCGTTCTTTTCCCTCTTCCTGTCTCTAATAATCATGCGTCCACTTTCCTGAACACATGACTTCACTCTGTCACAAAGCAGGACACGTCGTTGGTCCCGGCTGATTCAACTAGGGAGGGAAATGTTGCAACAGATCTTTATTTCCATTTTCACTGCAAAAACGCTGTAATTGAATTCTTGTGCGTTCCTTTAGAGTTGCAGACGGCTGGACAAAGAAAGGAGGTCAAGACTTGAGAGAAGAATTAATAACTGTTAAATAAATACCAGAGGTCAGAGCAACACGATATGCAACACAGACACAAAGATTATCTCTCTGGCCGGACGCCACACTTCAACATCCTGAGGGAGCGCAGAGCACAGGAGTGAGACCCTCCCTCGCTCTGCTGCTCATCACTCACAGAACCACGACTTTAAAGCAACAACATGGCGGAGTCGGGTTAGTGAGCTTTGGTGCCCACTGCAGGTCTCTGAGTGCAACTGCACCGACATCAAACACACATAAAGTGCTGTTACGCATCCCCCTCTTCTCTGCAATTTCTACTTAGTACTTACATTGATCAAATCTGACTCTGCAGGCGTCTTCAGCGCGTTGTTAGCTAACTGTTAGCATGTGTATTAAACTGTTACCATGACGACTAAAGGCCGTGGCTATATGAGTCCATTGGAGAGGATAATTTATTAATGCTAGTTGAGATGTGTTTGTAAGATAAACTCATAAAGCTAACTTGAAGATCGTTGAGGAAAGAGACGACTTCTCAGCGTCAGATGGATTTACTGATTTATTCTTATCGAACCGGAGACTTAGCTCGGGTTAGACGACTTTCTGCAGCCGGTGAAGGTGCTAAACATGAGACGACATCATAAAGGCTTACTTTGCATCACATTCTGTAAGAGCCAAAACTAAGATCATTTAGTTCTAGTTCTTTGTATGGACTGTAGGTGTCGCTGTGCGGGGACAGCTCAGGAATACGTTTTAAGGAAGTCACCGTTCAGGTCAGGGGAGTGAAGCCAGAAGAGGCCGCTTCAGCAAGATGTTACGCTGTCATCGTCATGACTTCTGAGTGACACTACACTTATATTTATCTTTTAGAATAAAGTGAGTCATTTGTAGGTGAAGATTTCAGACTACACTTATTGTAGTTCTGTCCTAACATGCCCATGTTCAGTTGAGGGCAATCCCAAAGGGATTGATTGGAATCATCCCTTACTAAACTGAATCCAGGCCTGTTTGCAAAGGAGGGTGTGAGCGCAGAGCTTTGGATAAGCTCATGGGACAGACACTGTTTGCTAAATGTTGAATGTGTTTCTGATCACCTGACTAACTAAACATGCACAAAGACATCTGAAAGAAGCCGTTAGCGTAGACTTCACCAAAGTTTGGCTGGTGCAGAGGTTTGTGTATTTTCATGGATCTGGTTTAGACCGCCTGCAGGTACGACGGCCCCTGGGAGGTTACCGGCCTCGGCCGATCAATAAACAACAGCTAATTGCCACCAGGAACCGATCGAGACAAAAGTACAAACTGTTTGGATCTTTGCTTCCTGACGGCCACAAGCTTGAAAGAACAGAAAGTAAACATTGCATTTTTTTCAATCAATGGTCCAGCCTGTTGGGCAAAATGACCTGGCACTTTTTTTTTTTTTATTGTTCGAGACCTTTTTCTGAGTAACATAAAAAAAAAGCAGCAACAGGGAGATAGAGTTGGCGGCAGCGAGCCGACTCAAATGATCTTAAAATAGCGCTCAGTAATGTATGAATCCGGGAAGGAACAAAGGAACAAGGAGAGCAGAGGTGAGGAGGCCGAAGGGGCCGTGGGGGTTTCTCTTAAATCCAAAGACCAGATGAGACCCGTCTATCCTCCTGTGACTGAAATAGAAAACACCCAGAGGTGCTGGCAGCGCGCTCAACATCAGGGGGAGAACGCCGAGGGTCGAGAAGCAGAGAAGTACCCGAGTGTTTTTGATGTCAGAGGGGCTGGTTTGTTTTTCAGACGGAGAGATCACAGAGTGAAAGAGAAGACGGGGGGGGGGAAGGAATGTGTGAGACAGAGTGAGCAGGATCAGAGGAATACAATCCCCAAACATCTTAACATCAGAGTGAAACCAGCAGAACCACCTATTCAGAACACAATCGCAGGATAAGGCCCCGTCCTGCAGAACAAGTCGGGTCGTTCTCTACTCCCGTTTATCTTCAGAGCTAAATATAAGACACAATGCAGCTTATGTTTTAACCTCCCTGACATCTAAAACTGCTCCCAAATACTCCACCTCCCTCTGAACTTTGACACAATGATCTGAGATCCAACACCAGCTTCTGTTTCAAGGAGAGTTCTGGTGTTTTTAGAACTGAACCACTTGTATTTTGGGGGTCTACATGAGGGTGTAGCATGCTTAGATTGTTAAAGGAAGGGAAAGCGGTCTTCATTGTGTCACCTTCAGCCACTCCTCGGCCTGCTCTTTGCTATGCACCGCCAGAACCAGAGCGTCTGCCCCCTGGTGGACGATCTTCAGCTCGTGCTTCTTCTTCTTGCCGTCTTTGGGGATGTGAGTGATGCTGCAGCCTGACAGGCTCAGCTCCATCTGAGGGGTTTGGTCTTTGGAGGACTTGTAGCACTGGAGGGGGGGGGAGAGGAAAAGGTTAAACCTGATGCTGCTGTTATAACAACAGATGTTTCCATCATTTTACATCGTAGCTCGTCGTGCCGATTAAACCCCCTCACCAGCAGTTTGTTATCTTTGATGACACAGAGCAGTTTGGTCCACTGGCCGAAGCGTTTCTTGCGCAGCAGGAACGCGCAGATCCGAGCGTCCTTCACCAGATCCATGGACGCCTCTTCAGACGGCCACTGACGCATCTTCTGTCCCTTCCCGTCCTCCTCCTCCTCATCGTACGACTCGTACGAGCTGCTCATGGCGTCCGAGTCATAGTCTGAGAGGGAAGGTGCAGAGGGCGGAAAGTATGAAACTTGACACACAGTTTAAGACGGAGAAGGTTTTGTAACAATAAGTGTTTCTGCAAAGGCTCCATTTCTTAAAAGGTTCTGAATCAAATATATAATCATTTTAAAACAACCTGGTCCATCAAAAGCAAAGCTAGTCGGTGCATTATGTGATGTAAAGTATAAATCAGGAGGTCACTCACTGGAGGTGATGTATTCAGGAGCCTTCCCAGGACTCAGAGGAACAGCCTCCTCGTAGTATCCTTCTGGTAGAGACGAGCTGGGCAGAGGAGGAGGGCCGCTGTTCGGAGGCTGCAGAGAGAACACAACTTTCTATCAGTCTGAACCTGAAGCATCATTTTCACCTGACATGCAGATCGTTTGTCACTAAAAAAGACATGTGCAATGTTACAGAATAATATGAAATAATGATTTCTTACAGGATGTGGTGTTAAACATGCAGCACTAAACGTAGCGCCTCTTCTCCTACATCAGGTCAGTAACTTTACCAGACAACATTAAAGTGCATAAAATATCCCCGAAAAACAATTTTCACGAGCACCATGACCATGCTGAGATGTCTGCAGACTTTTTCCCTCTTGTGGAAAGCCCCTACGATTCCCTTTCATTCCATTATTTGGTGGCAGCGTCGTGTTTTTTTCCGCTGGTTATTAGTGAGGAGGAGAAACTCCACGACTGTTATGAAGCTCAGTGTGCTACGGACCGTCGGTTTCAGCTGACCCAATAAGGCGTCATAGCCGCAGTGATGTCAGCACCCGTTGCCATGGAGAGGTGGAACATTAATAAAAAGGTTTGGCTGATGTGTTTTCACGGGGCTGACTTCTTCAAAGTGCAGAGAGTGTGTGTCACTGGACAGTCCGACATGACCATGAATGCTTTAATGAGAGAACGATGAACTTTTCTGTCAGAATTTAAAAGTATGTCAGGGAAGAACTGTATCTATTAGAGGAACTACTTTTTCATTATTACAAAGACAAACTGTAGTTTTCTTCTGGTCTAATATAAATCACTGGATGCAAGGATTGACAGATTTGTCAGCAAGTTTCTCATCACTTTGAGGTCATTTCATTGAATGAGCGCTCGTGCAGTATGAGTCGAGGTTAGCTCTGAGTGTGCAACCGATAAATTCATTTTTCAGTATGTTTGGGCCCTGACACACCAAGAAGATCGTCGCCCTCGGAGCGACGGTGAGCGATTGTTCGCCCAGGTTTTTGCCATGTGTCCAGCTCCGTTTCTACATTGCAACGTTGTTGCAGACATAAACAACCACAATTTCTGGGTCCATAACATCCAGCAGGAGTGCTGTTGATCTGTTTCTTGTGAGTCTCAGTTCAACAGTAAATGATAAGTTACACAGAGGCGTCACTCTGGATCACTTCAGCGATATGAACCTGAAAGGGAAACTCTTTTTTTTCTGGGTTTACTTCCAAATAAAGGGACTCAAGTTTGCTGAAATAACAACATCATGGTGCAGATTTGTAAAAAGCAAAAAGTCAAGCCGGTAGACTGTTTCTCCTGCAAACACCAAAGCCTGCTGACACGTGATTGGTCAATACAGCTTGACTACAAACAGAAACAAGAACACCTCACAAGAATCTGTAAATTGAGATGAGTCAGTGACGAAAACAAGACTTTATGTGGAACTATTTTGATTGGAAATTAGACAAAAGATTGAGCTGCAACCTTACAGACTTTCCTATTTCTCCGTCACGCCCCGAGCAAAGCTCACAGGGTTAAAGGAAGATCATTAAATCCACTGTAAGAATATCCAAGTCTTTCTCTGTCTGGACTTAACAATGCAAACTGGACTCTCCTTCTCTCTCTCCTCCTGATCCCTTCGTTCATCCTGCCTGTGCATTTTATTCAACCATACGTCAGGTAGGAGCTGAGAGGCCTAAAAGCAGAAATCTTATCACATCTCCTCGGAGGGAAGCAGCGGCTCGGTGAACTCATGTTTTGGCAGAGAAGCGCTGCCCTGCTAAAGTTCTCCTCCCGACCCGAGCTCTGAAACCAGAAAGTAATAAAATCCCCCGAGAAAAGAAGAGAGCGAAGGAAAGAAAGGCAAGGAAGCAAAAGAGCGAAAGCACTCAAGACTAGAAACAATAAGTCACAATCTCAGATTTGAGAGGCGGATGTGAAAGTTTGTGTTGTTGATTCGAGGTCTGCGGCTTCATATCTCACATCCTGATGACTTCCTTTCCAAGATTTCTAAGCAGCAACACCATTAATAATCATGCAGGAGGCGATTGTTTGGGTACGCATTTTTCCCCGAGTGCAGCAGAATATATCACAGAGAGAATGTGATCCCACCGCTCTGCTATTCAATGAGTCAAAGCTGGACGCAGTGGGGTGATGAGAGTGTGTTTGCATGCTCTGCCTGCACCGACATTTATAAACACACAATCAAACGTTCTCTCAGACAACAGCTCGGCCATATCACACAGGTTATATCTGCAGGTCAATCAGGCCTGAAGCTAAGGGAGTTCACAGCCGTCAAGATGCTGATAAACACACACTGTAAAAAGAAAGCCAGCGCACTAAAGTTCATAATCAGCTTCAAATGCTTTACAGATATCCCAAACATCTGTTCACAATTTGGTATGACAGCATCATATCCAGCACAGATCCTCTTTAAATGAGATCAGATTAGACGGATGGTTGAACAATATTGATAACAGAAGTGGGAGTGTCCTCAGATTTCAAATATTTTGACCGAATCAACTTAAAAGCTTTTATGTCACATACTCTCAGGTGTCTTTGAAGGATGTCCAAGGCTGGAGGCATATTTGATTTTGCGCATTATGTCTTCCACGTGTCCCCGCCGTCTGTTGACGCGGATGCAAATAGCAGCATATAAACGTTTGGGTCAGTGTAAAGGCAGAGGGGATGCGTGAACAGTCATCACAACAGGAGCAACAACAACGGCAGGAAGTTTTTAAGACAAGCTGACGGACAAGCTAATTCCAAAAATAGAATGATAGTAAGACGAAACCGATATCCGCATCTCTTCTCCCAGCACCGGAGAGCAGCCCTCCCCTGGCAGCCCTGCAGCATTTAGATCACCTGAAGGCTTCCAGAGAGCCGACCAATCAGAAGAGAGTGTGCACGTGGGGAGGGTGGGTCTTAAAGAGACAGCAGCTGAAACAGACCGTGTCATGCAGAGGCTGAAATGAGGGTTCTTACAGACCCCAGTATCAGATCAATAAGGAGGTTTTTGAGCTGCAGATCATGCAAAGCTGCTCTAAAGGTTTCACAGACTGACGGCATGAAAGGTGAACACACAGAAGATGGGATCTTTAAGGAGGAAGGATACAAAGTTTGGGTTACACCCATTTGCTTAATTAAAGCCAGAGATGGTACAGTTTATGAAGAACATGCGTCTGGAAAGTTGCAAATACCAATGGATTATTTCCATAGTGAAGGGAACCCCTAGCCCACATGAAGCAGCTTAATTCAGAGTTTGGAGGACCTTTTCATGTCCTGTCATGGTCTAAGGGCTGTTCCTCCCTGACACAAATACACGTTTCTGCAGAAAAGCACAGCTTCGTCTATGAGAGCAGCCATACACACAGGTCATGTGCATGGATGCATATCTGAAATGTCAGAATTCCACAGTCATAATGTGTAATTTGGTTGTGGTGAAGGAGTCCTGACCTTGGTTTGGATACTTTGAGTGGGAGGACTGTCTGCCTCTCTGGAAGCGGCCTGAAACTCACATCCAAACATTTATGCCAAGTATCAATTTTGCCCGGCGTAGGAGGACTGGACCTCAATAATGTTTCTGCACTGGTGCCAGTGGGAGGCTGGAATGGATAAACTGAGTGGACACAGGAAAGCCACTCCCTTACAAGAGGCTTTGGAGAAGGAGAACTGCATTTTCAATGACTATTGGCAAATGACCCATCGTAAAAGCACATGTTTCCAGCTGGAGCCCATCTTCTTAACTTCACTTTTCATTTCCAAAAATGCTGAATCAAACCAGAATTACTTGTTGCTGATGACTTTAATTTGCCTTGTCGATGGTCAGCAAATGGTTTGGTACAATGTCCTTGAAAGACTGACTCTTCTAGTTGAGTTATTTCTGGCTGTGACGCGTCACAGATAATTTAGGCTTACTGGGAGTGGGAGCATTTCAGCGGGCACTTTTCTGATTGAATCATCAGAACATAGGACCGAAGGAAAAAAGTCAACTAAGATTTCACGGTTCAGCTGTGCAGTGTGCCGTGTTGATGGAGAGCTGCAGCTATTTTGAGCATTAAATAAATAAAGCAAGTTAACCCCCGATTCTGTGTTCATTTTGGAAGATTTTGGTAAACTCATCTCTGGTGTTGGTAGCAAATTGCGACAGCTAAGAGAACTTAAGTTGTCTTGCTCTGTTTGAAGCCTCTTGACTTCCTTGTCCCCGAAAGTTAAAACAGCAGAGAAAGGGAAATGTAGTTTTTACAGCGACACACTGTACCAAATAAGACAAGAGTCTCAATTGTTATAAGTGATAGTGATGAATGAATAGTATAACAGTTGGCTCAAAATCATTTTCTGAGATGGATTTATTTAGGGTTACTGTTGTATATTTGGATTAACACCGTTGTATTTTCAAAGGATGGATGCTTTGGTAAAAGACTGTACCTTTAGATAAAGCTCGGTCTGCATTGGTACAAGGGACATTTAAATGCATATTTTTATTTCAGATTAATCAACTAGTCAAAGTTAAGAAAACTCTCAGGAAACAGTTCAAATTGAGCACAATTTATTTATAATTGTCAGCGGGTAAATAATGTAATGTGGTTTGCCGAGTGTGGCTATCAGTGGCTGTGCTAGGACTGCCAGCCTTCAGCTCTCCTTGCGGGTTACAGTCCACATGCCTGTGCTAAATGTGGCTACGTATGGCTCCAGTCGATGTGACAGTTTAACTTGACGCAGCCTGGATACAATTTTCCAGATCGAGATACTACCAGACGCGCTACAAGATGCTATTCATGCATGGGGCTTGTTTACATCCGGGCAGTAGAGCCAAAATAGAAGAGCCAATGACCAGGGCTACAGACCGCACCCCCTAGTGGTGGGTGGATGTGTTACAGCTTGGATGTATTATTTGACATGCATTGAAGTCCAACATATAAAATGTTAGTAATTGATTTGACAGATTTGTGATTCTGGTGCAGACAAGGGGTGAAAACGTTTATTCACTTAGTCGACTAATTTGTAACAAAAATTTATTCGTAAGCAATTTAACCAACGTTCGGAAGTGAAGGGTAAAATAGTTGCTCATGTTGTACACCTAGATTTTCCGT